TGTTTCTTATGATTGGAAAACAAGCAACACACAATTTTGTTTGTCTTTGAGTAGAACTTAACCATATTTTCCCTTTACAGTCATTCCGATATTGTTGCTAGCGTGCAACTGTAACTCCAGCAAGCCTTTTATTGACCTACCTTTCGACCCTAAGACGCATCTCATTAATTACCAAACTGAGGGCCGAGGACTTCTGGTGAGACTGTCTTCCGATATATTTTAACCCTTGACTTGTTTAGAAAATATTAACTGGTAAAAGTGATTAGCTGCTTTAATATAAAAACATCTAATAAACTCTTTGTTCTATTCTGGCAGGACTTGGATGGTGTGTTCAAACCCAACCCAGTTCAGAAACTCTTGACAAGTAAACAAGAACTGGTAGAATCTCAGTATGACAGTTTCACGAATGTGAACAATTTGGGCGCACGACAAGAGTATAACTACAGAGACGGTAACGACAGAATAGAACAGTGGGGCCTCATTAAAGAGTCAGAACAAGAACAAATCATGAACCTATCAGGAAGTGGCACATACCATATGGCTCAAAGAAGAGAATCAGGGGGCCATTCACTGGGTCATTCTCTGTCAGACAACATTTTGAAGGACATCTTCAACAATGTAAGAATTCATCTGAACACCTATAGTCATTTCTGTCTGTTTGTCCAAAACACTAAAGCTATCACCAACACAGTCCAATGTACACCAGCCTTCAGATCATTAGATTTTCACGTCCCAGTTTGAATTGCAACAATGTGTGGGTCTGACCTCTGTGCACGCCGGAAGCACAGAGCAGGAGAGAGCGAAGCTGCTTTCAGACTCATGCTTTATTAATTAACAAGAGAAATGTTTCAACTGCAGAGGGAAATTAGTTCCAACTAAATCACGAGTCTAAGTCTAAGTCTGTGTGTTCGTCGTATTAAAAAAATAAATGAACTAGCATGTAGGGGATTCACACTAACAAGCCATTAACATAGATACGACTTTACTGTTGCCCAGCATATTTTTCTGAGGATGTTTTTCTGCTCGACATCCGACTCCTAACCAGGTCCGTATAACTGGCGCTGCCCCATCTTCTTTACAAGTGTTCAACTTCAATCAGCTGCTGATGCTGGTCTGCTTAGCAGAATGTGTGCTGTAGCTGCAGCTGTGACACACACACACACACACACACACACACACACACACACACACACACACACACACACACACACACACACACACACACACACACACAAAGCGCTGTTACTTTTACTTTTTGTGAGAAGCAGAGTCGGCACAAGCAAATTAAGTGACTGCTTTGAGCCCCTGCACCACCAGGGGGCCTCCAAGAGTACTGTAAAGGGTTAAATTTACATTTATTTAACGAACCATAAGACATGAGATTCCATAGTAAATATGAAATCAATCTTATGGATCTTTGGGGAATTTTAACCAGAAGATTGGAACTTTATATTGCAGGGATTATGTAACACTTCGTATTAACTGAGAGACAAGAGAAGAGAGAGAGTCACCTTTAAAACGTTTAAGAAGATTTATTTCTAAACAATTTTAAACAAGACTAACTCTAAATTCTAAGTGGATGGATGGATCTTGGTGTGAATGAGACTTGAGACGAATGGTGTATGTGTGAGTGATGTTGTAATCAGAACTCTCATATCCGGAGAAGCAAGTCTGAATGATGTTGTGATGTTTTGCTCTTAAGCTATGATTGGAGTTTCATAAACACACGAGATGCCATTTTGTCGCTCCACACATACCCTTAAAATGGGACCTCCGTACAGATCCAGAATGCCAGGTCCTCGGACCCCCCTTTCAGTACCGGAGCTGATGAAACAGCGTCAGCAGTACGACAGACTAGTCTTTGGATTGTCTCCAGGTAAAAAGCGACAGTTGGTTGACAGCGTCAGATGGACCCGGAGGGTCAGTGAGTTCAGCTTTTATTCTGAAAGGAACCGTTGCTTGGTTGGTAAAATGCAACAGATTTTATCCAGCTTGGTGGTTCTTTGCTTAAAAAGGAAGTCCGGGTGGTCGGTCCGATACTTCTCTTAGAATGAGATGAACTGAACTTAAGATGGCGTGGGACTGGTTTTATTAATCTGGATGTTTTGATTTATGGTCCAATCAAAGTTGGACAGATTTATAAACACCACAGAGACTATGCCACGCTTCAGAAAGGAAGGTTCCGATTGGATGCGTAAAAGCAATGTGTCATGCGTTTACATTACGTGTATCAGGATGTCTAGTGCAGGTAGATTAAAGTCATATTACTCAGTAAAACTTACTAATCACAACATTGTCATTTAACAGATTGGTCAACATCTTATTATTGACTAACAGTTTGTTTGATTGGCTTGATTAAAAATGGAAAGAGTTCTTCTTCTTTCTTCTCTTGGGCTGGAAAGGAAAACAGTTTAGAAGCAAATGCATGAGACCTTGAGCAATATCTCATGCAGATTAGTTCCTGCTGAGGAGAGGGAAAAACGACTTTTAGGTGGAAAACAGTCATTTCATTCCGTTACAGTACTAAGATGACAAGATAATAAAATGTTTTATCAACTTTAAATCATACAAACAAAATAATATTTCACCAGAAAAAATGTCAATCTTGTAATTTTATTTTATTTTGTAGTTCAGCACATTTTACTTAAGTGTCTAATTTTAGGAAACAAAGGATAGAAAACCTAACTTTGTTTTACTGTAAAGTCAGTGTTTGTCAGCTGATGTTTCTTTCAAATAGTTGAATTAATATACCAGATTTAAATAACACTCTGCATTTCAAAATGAAAATTAATTAGGAGTGCTTTTGTTGGTTTGCTGCTTTGGTAACATTAAAATCAATATCCATAATGACATCTGTATGATGCATGCTAATTACAAAAGACTCCAGTGATAGAGGGCATGTTACACAAATGGAGCAGCCTATGATGAATCTGGTGCTGCTGGTATGGGGAGCCCCAAAGAGAAACCTGCTTAGGGCCCCACAAAGGCTTGGGCCAGCCCTGTGAGACAGGCAGAAATTTGCATTTTGAGCATGGTTTTTGTCTAGTCTCAGCTCGTCAACAAAAACTCCCACACGTCCTGTCATTTTTTTAGTCACCAATGAGCTGTTTTTAGCTCGTCACATCAGTGGCGTGTCCAGATCTTTTAAAATGGGGTGGCCAAGGTGAGGCACAACTTTGTGCATGATTGGCACCAATGGTTAATGCTTTTTTTTGTTTTACCCCCAAGCCTTTTGTGGACAATGAAAAGCCTATTCAAAGGTAAATTAGTGTGGTGGCACTTGGGGTGGCCAGTCAGATTCCAAGGGTGGCATGTGCTACCCCAGGCCACTCCCTGGACACGCCCCTGCATCACATCTTGTTTTTGTTACGAGAAAAAGGGGGGTCAATGAAATAAATTTGTCATTGTTTTAATTAACGAAAACAACACTGACCCCCCACCCCCCACCCACCCCCCACCAATCCCCCCACACACACACTCTCATAAGAACTGTTATGATGGGAAACCAAACTGATCGGTGCAATTTTATAGTCTGCTGTTTTGTCTCTGTTAAACGTATTTTATAGTAAAACAAATAAATGTATTTTCATTGCAGAAAGTCAACAACTTATACTATGAGGCTGACGACACTTGTCAGGTGCATTCCTATGAGGATTGTGAATCCGTTCCTGGCTCCCTTAGCAGTGACAGCTTACTTGGTTGTGACAACGACTTGCAGTTCCTGGACAATCTTGGACTGAAGTTCAAGACTCTTGCTGAGATATGTGGAGGTGGCACGGTCTTGAATGATGTGAACCAAGTGGTCACTTCTCTGCCTAATGCTTCAGTACCTAAGATCCAAACATCACAATCCCATTTGGTAAGTCATCAGCAGCCATCCCATCCATCAACACTGCTGCCAACCAACCTCCAAACAGAACGCAAAATGGTGAGAGAAACAGCTGAGCAATCTCAAATGATGGAGGAAAACATGGCCATGGTGAAGGAGGAAATGGGCTCTGCAAATTTAGGGATGAGATCTCAAAGTCAAATGCTCCTTGCACAACAGCAGCAGCAGCAGCCTATCTACTACACCACCACACCTGTTCTGCAGCCCATGCACTATGTTGTTCAGCCATCCTTGCAGAACGCTGTGATAATGGCGGAGGCACCTGCCACCAACCTTCAAGACATGCTGCTGGTTACTGGCCCTGAAACTATACCTTCCCAAAGTGTCTTTGTTCAAGGCCAGCCACTGATGTCCAGTCCACCGGTCCATGGCTTTAGTACAGTGCTAATGGACAACAGTGGGAATCATGGAAACACCATCAACTTGGTAAATGCTGGAAACCTGTCTGGGACCCAAACTATGATGGTCATTGGCAGTAAGGCCCCAGATGGTTCAGTAAAAATGTTTAATGGGAGCCAGGCTGGCTTCATTCAAGAAGGACTGCTAATGACAAGAGATGTATCAGGATCCCAACAATTCCTGATGGTTGAAGATCCAGCAAATATACAGCAACAGATTAAAGAGGGAGGGTGTGTCTTCCAGAAGAGGGAAATTCTTGCGTCAGACATAGTTCAAGGCAGCAAAAAGGGCACATCCACTGCATCTGAGAACAGCAAGTCTTCCACCACTGTAAAGACTACATCCACCATTCGTAACACGGCAGCGAAGAAGACAAGAGATATGGCCTGAAAGATGTGCCAAGGTCCAGATTCTGAACAGACCAAGCAGATTGTTTCTCTGGTCCATTCCTGATGGTGTTGGGATGCCGATGAAGCTCAGGTAACTGAATGTATCAGACAGAGTTACGGTGGCATGTAAAAGGGCCTGGTTAAAATTTAATTTGATGTAAACTTTTGAAAGAGGAAGTATGAACTTGATCTCTGCATAGGTAATACTTAAAGACCAAACATTTATTTTAATATTTAAACCACTGAATGAACAATAACATTTTGCAGACTTGAGCCGGGCTTACACTGAGGTCTAGTCCACACGTAGCCGGGTTTTTAAAAAAACGAATATCCGCCCCTCCAAAAACTTGCATCCACACCACCGCGTTTTAAAAACAAACTCTGTCCACACGTACCCGGATAAATACGTTGTTAAGGACATGCCAGACCTGTAGGCGGCAGTACTTCCCCCGTTCTTAACCTCGTCCTTCGTCTGTGGTCTTCCGCAAGGAGCAGTAATTCCGCTTGCAAAAACAAACAAGCAAAAAGCGCTTGGACAATTGATGGATCGGGTAGTGACAGAGCGCAGCTCTGAGGGCTTCCATGATGTCGGCTAGTGTAAACACAGGTCGCACACGTGATGTCAGCATTTTTTGTCGCGGAAAGTGACGTTGCGGACCTTAAAACTCCGGTTTTGTCTGTCCACACGCAGACACCCAAAACAGAGAAAACGCAGATCTTCACTTTGGCCGGAGTTTTTAAAAAGATCCGTTTTCGTGTGGATGACAGGCCGCAGATCCCCGGCTACGTGTGGACAGGGCCTGAGTCTCTTTTACTCGTAGCATTCAGCTCCATCTCACACTGTATGACCCAGTTCTCTGATGTGACCTGACTGCTCACACTGTACGTCTGGTAGCAACATGTCGGATCTTCAAGTCTGAAGACTTTTTCATTATGTGCAGAGAAAAGTGTAAAAAAAACCAAACGATGTGCGTTGATACAAAAATAGCTGGTGAGCCGTGTTGACACATGCGCTGTGGGGGCAGTTTTGGTACTTTTGGGTCATAGCACTGCTTTAACAGTACAAAACCCTCAAAAGAAACAAGCAAAATGTCAAACATGTTTGATATTCGTGCGACCGCACTATTGATGGTCGTGAGGTGTTAATCGCTTCTCATTACCTCCTGTATACTTCACAACGTAAAACTTGCACTAACCTCAAAGATTCTCGCATGAGAGGAAAATCGGCTCAAAATGGTGAAAAAGTTGCACAGTGTACGCCCGGCTTCAGACAAAGAAAGGGGTGGGATGCACATGTAATGCCTTGCCTAGGGAAACTTTAACATGTGGTGCGAAAGCTGGAATCGACCCTTGGATCAGCATAGAGCCATAGCTGCCGTCAAATGAACATAAAATTTAAACATGCCAAATTTAACTTGATGAAATACATTTTGTTTTGCACCTCACTAAATTACATCTGTCACTTTGTCACACTGCACATTAAAATGGTTTGAAACAAGAAGGTAAATGAGTTTATTATAACTTTTTATAAATGTTTTGTCCAGATTTTACTTTTCAGCTCCAATCTTTATTGAGATGAAAAGGATTTCTGCCACAGCATTACATGTTTGTTTATAGATGTTTTTTCTTAGAGGAAAGACAAATCCAGTCTTCAGAGAACCTAGCTGTTCTCCTACATAGTTATCATTACTGTAAAAACAAACTTTTGCATGCTGTTGTAAACAGCCTCTATTCAACCTGGTAATGGGATAAATCACAAAACTGAAATGGAGATAAATTGTTAATAAGCTAATTGTAATTCGAACTCTACTTGTTTTTTTACACACAAAAATCTGTTGTTATACTTTAGGAAAGTGACAATAATTGCTGTTTGAGTGAACATTTTTTCTGTGGTTATGGGGGAGAAATTCTTTATTAATTAAAACAAATAGTGGAAAATGGCAAAATGGTAGTTTTTTGTGTATAAAATATGAAGATTATAATTTTTGATTTCTCATTATCAGGAAGTCCACAGAATGTAGTTAAAAGTCTTCAGCTTGTCCAAAATGCTGCAGCTAGAGTTCCGATGAGAATTAAAAAGAGAGATCATGTCTCTCCTGTCTGAGCTTCCCTACATTGGCTGCCTGTTAAATTCAGAATGGATTTAAGATCCTTCTTCTCACATATAAAGGTCTTAATAATCAAGCTCCAGCATACATCAGTGATCTGATTGTTCCATATGTTCCTAACAGAGCACTTCACTCTCAGACTGCAGGTTTACTGGTGGTTCCTAGAATATCTAAAAATAGGATGGGAGGCAAATCTTTAAGTCATCAGGCTCCTCTCCTGTGGAACCAGCTCCCAGCTTTAGTCCGTGAGGCAGACACCTTGTCCACTTCTAAGACTAGGTCTAAAACATTTTTATTTGATAGGGCCTATGGTTAAAATCTGATGTTATCCCAAATCTGGACAAGTGGGGGAGTAGAGGGAGGTGGAGTGTACAGTCGGTAAAGACGGCTCTCCCTTGCCCTGCCTCCAACATGCCTCCATCTAAAAGGCTAGGTTATCCAGATTTTTCTCTGTAGTTATGCTACTATAGGCTTAGACTGCTGGAGGACATACTGGCCACTTTCCACACTCAACTACTTTCTTCTACCACTACTTTCTAATTGCATTATCTGCTCAGCTGTTAACTTTATTTTCTCTCTAAGTGTATTTCTCCTCAGAATAAGCTACAATGATGTTCTGCTGAGCTGTGGTGGCCTCATGGAGGGGCCAATCACTTAAACGTTCTCACTCTCCTGATAATAACATTTTACTTTCTTTAACATGGAATGTGCTACTACTAGTTCACCTGTTGAATTAATTATAGATTCACTAAGATAAAGACAATAAAGCTTATCTGTTCTGAAATAGAATCTCAACTAATAAACTGCAATGTATGCGGCCATAGAAACACTACTTGGTATATATTTTGTTTGTATGTGTGTGCAAGTGGTTCTGCCTTTTTGCATGTGTGTGTCGCGTCCGCATGTGTGTGTCTGCTCTGTCTTCTCAAACCCCAATGAGTCACAACAGATGGCTGCGCATACTGGGCCAGGTTCTGTTGGAGATTTCTTTCTGTTAAAAGGGAGTTTTTCTCTCCACTGTTGCTACATGCTTCCTTAGGATGGGGATTGCTGTGACTGTGTCTTTGACACAACTAGTCAGGGACTCGATGCAATCTGCTGGGTTCCTTATATAGGAAACTTTTTACTGATTGGCTTAATGAACTGAACTGTGTTAAAATGTTTACTGTGTGAAGTGCCTTCCAACCACCTAATTAATTTTGGACACACTGAGAAACATGTTTATTTCTCACTGTCCCTGGTGTGTCCATCTTCAGATTGGCTGAGGCACTAACAAATTGTAATTGCTTCACCCTTCTGAACTTGGCTTGTTGGCTCCAGTGTACCTATAATACTGTTTGATTTGTGAAGGAGTGGATACAGAAGGAGCCACAAGCGCTTGTCTTGCAAAAATATTAGTTAATTTCCCTGAGCATGCTTATATTCTGCTTGAGTTACTGCATTTAATGTTTATGTGCATGCTTGAGTGCAATGTGTGTGTGTGCACAGACATCATATGCGTAGACGCCGCATGGACTTGCGTTGCCTATCGGAGCTGCCTTAGTGAGTGGCCGCCATAGTGGACGGGTCTCTATTTGTCCCAAGTGCATTTACTGAGGAACATGTTTACCCAACTTAAAAACACGTTTTATTATACTTTTTTACAAAATCAGACACATGGTGTGGAATGGTAGTTAAAACATAAATATTATTACATAACATAAGTAGAATTTTTTTAACATAAAATCCCAACAGGTAGGCTAGAAAAGTCCTGGAAAAGTCTTACGTGATCTGTTTTTAACAGTGCGCCGGCTGTTGCAAACATAGACTCTACAAAATATGGGCATAGTTGCCCACTCAGCATTGACTCCGGTTGAGTTTGGAGAGTGAGGCACCTATCCAATATGGCGGTGAAGCAGATACGCTCTTCATTGCCCAATGGGCGTCTACGTATTCATGTTCATGTCCATGTATTCGTGTTATTACCATATTTCTTCTTTTCTCCTATGTTGTCTGTTCTTCCATAAATTTTCATGGCAGATTTATTGCTCATGAACTCACCCAGCTTGACTCATGATGGGGAAGGCTGTTGTTTTAGCATACAGGAAACAGCGGAGAACTACTCGACTACTAGAAGTTAATCGTTAGCAATAGCGACTTCACAGTATGGCAGAACTCCTTCAGGCTTGTGTTATTTGTAGCGATAAAACATCAGTGTTGCAAAACAAACAGAGTCAGCTGCAGTTGTGTTGCTGTTAGCCAATCAGAGGTGAGATGTCCAAATATCAGGAAATACGACTCTAAAACTAGCTGTGATTTATAGCTCACTTCTAGTTCATGAAACAGCCCCCCCCCCCAATATGACTTAGAAGGCATTCATTCCTATTACATACCACTGCAAATGTAATAAAAATATAAGTAAGAAAGTACCACTTTAATGATTAAACAAAATTACTTGGAATAAATCAGACCATATTTTAAAGTCGAATCAGATCATTTTTGATCTGACTTCACTGAACTTAAATGGAAGATAAATAAACTGGATTGTGTGTAGATATTTTGTGAAGAACACAGAGTTGAGTTTCGCTGTAAGAATCAAATAGAACCTCTGATGCTGGGTTGCAGCGAGGAAAACACTTCACTCAGCGGAATCTGAAACTCTGACAAACACACCAAACTCTTTCCATCTTTTATTTTGAACAAAAAGAACTCCAGATCTTTAAGATAAAGAAGAAACTCCATGTAAATAACAGAGACACTGTATTTTAGATAAAAGCATCCACCTGATATTAAGATGGGCTCAAAGAGATTTTCCACACCTATGTGAAATTTAGTCTGTAGCCATTTCCCCCAGAGTTAGATAAGTGGGGAAAAACCATGTTGTTTTCAGCCAAGTCATTCGCCTAATCTAACAGCTTGCTTTATCTAAGAATAAACAATGTAAGTGAATGGTAACAACTAGCATTTCAATCATATAAAATCAAAAAGACACCTACTAGGCTTATACCCAGTAATGTTTTTGAAGTAACATCATAGTAAGTTCATCTAAAAATGGCAGAGTACATTACAGATAAAGTAGGTGTCTTTTAGGGCTGCTGCATCATGTCCTTGCACATTGCAGCTGAGGTTTACAGCAGTGCTTTGTTATAATTTAGTCCCAAGTCTAAATTGGCTACTGTAATTCCTTACTTTTACCCAGTGTTTTCATTTGTAGCCAGTGTGATTATAGAGTCCACCAAGAAATGGTAGAATCATTATCGAGTACTTTTCATGAATTTTTCCACACCTAATGATCACTTATATTGTTTATGCCAAGCAAATTTAAAACTGCCAGATTAGAAGACTGAAAGGGCTGTTTACCTAACTCTGGGGAATATGGCAATAGACTACGTTTTACTTAGGAGTGGAATATCCCTTTAAATAAATGAGTTTCTTGACTTTGCCATGAAATGGCGATTTGTAAATTCTCCCACAAAGTCCATTCAGAACACAGGTTCTGCCTAGCCTTTGAACAGTATAATTACCAACTTGACAAAGTTCTGCTCTTTGGAATCTACAAACTTCTACTTGCTAAACATGAATGAATAAAGAATGAAGTAACAATGACATCCAGTGGTCAAATTTGGTTACTGCAGGTCATTTTATAAGCGAAAATTACTTTCGTTTAGTTTCGTGAATTTCATGGCTGTTGCCAGTTAGAATATTCTAGATGACAGGCGAAGAAGAGTCATACACAGTAAATTGACAAGTGGATAAATATATTGTCAAATCTGGTGCTAATACTCTCGGGTGTTTTATGTTAAGGAGCACTTACTATACTTATTATGGAAATATTTCTCCAGCATTAGAGGAAGTGTGGTTGTTTGCTGTCGTTCTGTTAGATTGCAGTTATAGTTCTGAATTACTCTTTAAAGTAAAACGCCCCAATTGACTCATTATTCCCTTAACACATACATTTTACTATAATATCGAGTTGTTAGTAATTGAAAAAATAGCTTCAAATATTTTAGAGCTGACTATTTTGCTTCTAATTCACTGTTAGCATTGTTAGCTCAAAGTTAGCTTCTAGCCTGCTTCACTGACATTGGAGTAAAACAAATGGATGCTGTGGATTCTTGGGAGAACAAGAGACAACATTTGGATCGCTCCTGTTTACTGGCTTCAGTTCTTTAAACAAAACGATTTTTGCCTGCCATTGTTGCATTACAAATTTCAGTACTGCAGCATTTGCTCAGGTCACACTTAGCAACCTGATCTCTGGTCTTATTGATTGTAAACAGGTACTACGTCCCTCTTTAACTTTTTTTGAAAGGAGAAACAAATGACAACCTCCCAGCCGGCTGAGAAGGAAATCTGTTTAATGTAACCTTCCTTCCAACACGATTGAGACATTAAACTATTTTTTGATTATTTAACTCTAGAATTCATACATATTGCTCCTTTAATCACCAAACCTTGAGAACAGTTTTTATATTATTTTATTTAACTTTTACATTATGACCATGCCAGAATCAAGATATAAAATATCAACTAGAATTTAAATCACTGGCTGATACAACTCAGTAAAGGACTAACTCACTAAAGCGGTGTGAAACCTTTGTACCCAAAAATCCCAAAGCACACTTCAAATTGACCCGTCAAACTAAAGGCCATCTGTACTGGTGCAGAAAAGGTTGGTTTATGTATGGAAACCAGCTCACATTTATGTAGATTACCACCAGGGCAAAATCGTCTGATTCCTAAAGATCATCGCCTATAATTTACTACTATTTAATTTGGGGAAAAAGTAAACCCATAGCTTAAAACCCAATGCAGCACCAAGTAACACTCAGTAAAAAAAAAACAAACAAAAAAAAGATAACACACCACCAATATTTAATTAAATCAAACACCATCTGTATATTAAAAATAAACAAAAGAAGAGCCTCTAATGAATAAGGTAGTTTTCTAAAGTCTAGACGGATCTTCTGGATCTTGACTTATTTAGCTAAATGGTGATAAGAGTATGGCTCTGTGAGATACGGTGGCTTTGGTGGGTCAAGTTACAGCATGTAATAAAAGTTGTTTGACCCAAAACCATGGGCTTTGTTCTGGCAGATACAAGTTGAATGGGCATGGCTCAGATTTATTAGGCTTGTATGAATATATGACTCAATGAGGACAGTCAGACCCCAAAGAGAAGACTCCTGAGAGAAGTCTAAATCCCACAAAGTCCAGACGCTAAAGAGGAATCCAGACCCCACAGAGGAGTTTAGATCCTATGAGAGATGTTGGGCACTAAGTTTGAGCCTAGAGGGGAATCTTGACCTTAGAGATTAATTTATTTAAACACTACTAAGTCCAGATTCTATGAAGGGGTATGGCCCCCAGCGGGGGACTCTATACCTAGTCGAGGATTCCAGACCCTACAAAAGAGTCCAGATATCACATTGGAATCTAAATCCTAATGAGGAGGTCTGAACCTTACAAAGGAGTCCAGACTACACAAGTTCAGATCCTAAAGCCGAGTATAGGCGCCACAGAGGCATCTAGACCTGACACAGAAGTCCAGATCCTAAAAAGGACACTAGACTATACTTGGGACTCTTGATCCCACAGAGGAGTTCAGACCACACAAATTAGTCTAGACCTGTGGAGGACTCGAGACCCCACAGACAAGTCTAAACCGTGAATTGCAGGTGGTGCAATGTGATCAGCAAAACAGGACATCCAAAATCCACCATCTTTCAGATGAAACTCTTTCAAACAGCATAAATACTGCAGAAAGACGACATATATTTGTGTTGTCCATTCTTTATAATATGCAAGAAAAACCTGCAGCACATAGTCAGGTTTTGGATCCAACAATAATTACTAACATTTAGGACATGCATGTGGGTTTCAGGTCATCTGATGAGGTTCCTGCACTATTCCCCCAGGGACTGAGCTGGCCATCCTATCACTGAATTCTAGCAGTCTCTTTAAATATGGGAATCCACTTTTGTCCAACAGCTTCTCATGTTTGACAGGTCTCAGGAGAAATTTCTTCAGGAGAAAGTTCTTCTCGACATTTTGAGCCTGTAGGTAAACAGCCGTTGATCTTGCAGACTTTAAAGGATTCTAGGAAATTTTGCTTGCATTTTCCACCCCCTAGTGTCCGTTATTAATTCAATGTGGTTAAACCAAAAACGAAACTTATCTCCTCGCTGTGAGTTTGTCTTTTTAACATCTCAACCCATTTTTCTCTATTCAGATTTGCGTGAGAGTTTCCATGGACACAAGAATGCAATTACATTATTTTATAATACATGAGTTTTATGCCTTTAATATAGAGCCATGACTCTAACTATAATGTTAAATAAATATACCCTCATCATGTCAAAAGAATGATCAAGGTTAGGATTTACAATGAATGGACAAAGCATGAGTACTTTTGCCATTTTATCTTTTTTACAAATTTTCCGTTTTTTTAAGTGGTATTTTCTGAATGAGGATGGATTTGAACTGTTATGAGACACACATTGTCCTTCCCGGTGTCGGTACAAGATCTGCTCGGGTGCAAGATCGGCTCGGGGTCCGTCAACTGCCGATGACGTCAAAGTAGTCGATTGGCTGAACATGAACCTTACGGAATTACGTAATCACGTTACATTGTTATCACGTTACGTTGGTCCAGGCAAAACTTTCTGTTGGAAAGATGGACAACTTTTACAAAGAAATCCATCATTACCTCTTTGAAAATACACTTTTAGCATAGAGCTGCATGTATATTAGGGCTGAACGATTAACTGCATGTGCAATTAAATTGCGATGTGACAAAAGGAGATTTTCTAATCGCAAAGGCTGCAATTTGGCAGTGAGTGGTTAGCGCAATGCTAATATACGTGGAAAATACCATAGGAATGCTAATGCTAATATCACCGATTACATTCTTACGAATTATGAATTAGAAACGTGCCAAATGATTACATTTGGAGTCTAATAGAAAGTAAAACTACCATCAATCAAATAAGTACAGACAGGTATTTTAGTAAAGCCAGAAAACTTTTAACTCCAGAGTTTTGGCTAGCAGCTATGAGCGTAACTGAACTACGCATGGACAAGACGTCAAAAACTCTAAACACAAAATACTTCAATAAACGGGACACACTTCTTTCCTGCAAATACAATTTCACAGGTGTTGCTAATACCTATGATCCTTCAAGGGACGTGCTCAAAGAGGAGTTCAACATTATGAATAAAATATAGTGTTTTATTTTACAAATACCATTATAAACACAAACTTACGTCGTAAGAAACATTATTTTAATAACGAAACTGCTAAATTCTTTCCAACAGTATAGATGTGTAGTGTATTTTGTCCGAGTGGGTTTGCCGTACTTTGACGTCATCGGCAGTCGAAGGACCCCGAGCCGATCTTGCACCCGAGCAGATCTTGCACCGACACCGGCTCCCTGAGTCACACTGCATTCAAGGGGACATCCTCTGTTGTTTGAAACTTTGATGGATATGTTGTCTTTTAATAAACTCTGTGGCACTGAATCAATGTATGGTCTTATATCTATTACCTCTAAATAACCCAACCACATTTGTGGCTGCCTGGTAAGAAAACTCTGTTTGGTAATGGAACTGGTGTGCCCTTTCTGACTAAATCTAATTATTCCTAAATACCAATTTTGTACAAAATCACCCTCATTTACAACAGCAATGGAACAAAGTAGGTGACTGTAGTTAGTCTCCATGACTGCCAAGCCTAAAACCCCCTGAGGGGGAGCAGTCTGTTCTACCAGGTTAGCATCCGTAGGCAAAGCGCCCTCAGGTGAACCTGGATTCTTCTCCTCTATTTCACCTGGCCCATTATTACTCTGGACTAACACATAAGTACCAGCTGCATTAGGACCCATCACGTTACAGCCGTCTACAGGGAGTAAGCCCTGTGACATGGCTGAACTAGACAGAAACATGGCGGTCCTGACTGGACTTATGGGGCTAGCGGGACTTATGGGACTTCCAAAACCCTCAGAATCCTGGACAACTTGCCCAGAAAGGGAGCTTTGGGTTCCACCCAGCACAAGTCTAGATAGATTCTGCGAGTCGTTTACTAAAAACATGCCTTGTATGTTGGCTCCATGAGCCCCATCTTCCACCAAAAGCATGTTCTGTGGGTTTGGTTGGACTATGTAGTGCATTGGCTGGAGAACCGGACTGGTGGTGTAGTAGATGGGCTGCTGCTGTAGTACAACTGTCTGATTTGGATAAGGCAACGTAGCAGAGTGACTGAAGCTTGCGCTACGACTGACGTTTCTGACTCTAGAGTGAGGTAAGGTCATGGATGTGGAGGCCGTGTCTACTGAACTGACAGATGAATTTAGGACGTTAGTAGATGATACTACCTTTTCCATCTTCACATCAGTACGTTTTGTCTCAACATCACGCTCAACCTTGGCCTTAAAGACTGGCTCAGGCCTACCAAATGCTGTTTTAAAACTTCTAGTCTCAAGCCCTCTAGTCTTACTATCCAGGAGGGATTTGGAAATGGTTCCAGGAGGAGAGCAGACCTCGGCCAGCGTCTTGAACTTTAGTCCAACGTCATTGAGGAATTCCAAGTCATCATCAGATTCTCCAAAACTGATTAGGCTCAGTGAGCCAGCTGTAGAGAGCTTGTCCTCGAGAGCAAATGGCAACAAAAGGTCGGTACCTGGTACATCAATCTGGGCTTTCTGTTTGAGGCAGAGAAGTGAGACAATCAGTCCATCATGGCTTTACTGTGTGGAATAAATCTGATGACACCAAGCTTCCATTACCTGGGAGTAGTACTCATAAAGGAAAGCATCAGGAAGGGCAAAGTCTTCTTCAAAAGCTGCTGTTTGATGATGATTTGATGTTTGCCAGCTGAATGTTGCCATATCATTGCTGTTATATGCATCTCTTGCATACTTGTAGATGTTGTCCGCCTCCATCAGGTTTTGGGGAATTTCCCCAAGCATCTGGTCATTTTCATTGTAAGTTTCAATGTAAGTTTCATTGATTCCTTTGGAGAAGTTGTTGAAATTCAGACCATGTGCTGCCTCAGTTTTTTGCCTGAAGCTTTGCGAAACAGGAAGAGCAACGAATGGAACGTCCTAAAGAAGAGGAAATTATTTTACTACAAACTGGTGCTTGTGTCATTAGACCTGAAAAGGTGAACCTTGCCTTGAAGGAGTCACATGCCCCCTACGTCATCCTTAATGTGTATTTCACTCATTTTGTCTGTGTCTAGAGACACATTCAGTTCTGTTCCAAATGACTGGTTTTAGTTAAAGTTCTTTCTATGGCTTTGCTTTCTGGCACAATACAGAAACAGCATAGGCATTATGGTAAATGAGGCATAAATGACCAGCTCTTACATGGATTAGATAGGACATTTTTAGAATTTAAAGAGCAAGTCACCCTCAAATCAACTTTTTTTGTTGATAAACTATTTAAATGAGTGTGTAATTGCTCTGTAGACACATTCAGTCAATAATTTGACACTTTACTTAATCTTAGTTAAAATTTAAATAATCTGCCTAAAACTGTCAGCGATGCACCGTCATCAGGCAAAAACTCTGCACTGCATTTGAGTTTAAATCTGCCATCGCTATTGGCTAAGAGGTATACTATGATGTTAGATGGTACATTATGATGTCACAATGTCGTGAGTGTGTGTATTTGTTAGTGGCTCCACCCTCTTGGTCTGCTAGGCAACAGCATTTGTTGCATTTTTAAACAGGAAGTGGGAGTTGAGTAAGAATCTGGCAGGGGGTGACTTGCTCTTTAAAAAACAAAAGGGAAATCTGAGATCTTTTTGAAAAATGAAATAACAAAATTGCCACCCACCTGGTCATTGCCTATACCCTCTGTCTGATATTGTATGAGGTGTTCTTTAGTGTCAAAGGGCATGTCACTAAACTGGTCTGCAAAAATGGTATGTGGTCCCCCACACTGGCAGAATATCAAGAGGGCAGGGATTACTGCAGAGAGAAGAAACACAGCTCAGTAACTGAGAAGATGTGTTATTGTAACAGAAATTCAAGCCAACGTTAAACAAAGTGAATGTAGACCTATAGTCCAGAATACCACAGTTTCCATACCTCACGGGAGCCAGGCTTCCTTTGTGGCCTTATGTCATAATTCTCCAGTAAGGTTTTCTTTGGCAGGTGTTGGGATACATTTCACTTATTTAGTGCAGTTCATTTGCAAATGACAAAAAATGTGTTTGTAATTATTATGCCACTTAACTCTAAAACCCTGTCATGTTTTTGACATCTGCATTGTGGTTTCATGGAGAATTGAAATATGTGTGCCTTTGAGAAAATCCAAACACTGCCCCTTTTCAAAACTCTAGCAGAAGTGTGGCCTCCAGGATCACCAACCAGGCTCTTTGAAACATCCCGCGAACCCAAAACATTAGCAATGATATCGACATAGTTCAGAGCCGCCACTAACGTTTATGTTTATTTATTTGACAGACGCTTTTATCCAAAGCGACTTAAAATTCACAACCTATAGGGCATGTTGTGATCCATGGGGGAAACCGGTGTACCCGGAGGAAACCCACGCATGCATGGGGAGAACACGCAACTCCACGCAGAAAGGCTGCAGCCGAGTTTTGAACCTGCAACCTTCGTGCTGCGAGGCAACAGTGCTAACAACTGCGCCACCATGCAGCCCAAGGCCACATAGTCTTGCCATGCTATGGTAATGTAGGTGCACTGCCACGGAGGCGTGCTACTGTTAGAGGAGGGTAGACCAAGTAGGAAAAACCTCTTAAGCTATGTTTCTGTATTGTTTTCAGTCTCTTTTGTCCCTGTCTCCCTGTCCCAGATTCATTACAAAACGTACCTCATCCTGCCTACTTTATAAACAATGGGACTATCAATTTATTGATCACTCACTGGTTGGTTTGATCTGACTCTTTGCATTCATTTTCAAACCAGTACTACTATTTTGGTGCGTCATAAGTCAACAAAGCCAATAACGAAGACCTCCTTCAGACCAATTGCTTGATAGGTAGAAGTGGGGTCAAGGATCCAAAGTTCACCCAAAATTTAAGAAAGTCTGGTCACTAGACTTCATTAACATATCATAACATTCTACCTCACTTCAGTAAAAACAAGTAGAAATCATGAATAGATCCAAATGGTCTTATGAATAACTGAGGGACACACGACCCTCCGTTCCCGACCCCCAAGAGTACACCCATGTTCCAGTTCTTTTGAGCCCCTGTTACTGTATCTCTTTTTCTTTTGAGACATGTTCAGGTTGAGCTAATTTGCATGTTTTTCATATTTTTCAGCTAATATATTTAATTTGGAAAACATGAATGAATCAACTATTTTTGTTTTTACAGAGCATCCCAGAATATGGGTTTTAAGAGTTTTAGTTGACTGTCAGTTTTTCAGTGACTTTTTTGGTTGTCTAAAATAAAACAAAACTCACACAACAGGAAGATTGATGCTGTTATGATTGGGCCAATGGCATGTGAAGAAAAGTTAGATGCGTTGCTTCCGTGTCTAGCAGCCTTCGCGCTCTGGCAGTCCTGTTTTCCAAGACAGGTACAGACTTCCACTGTAAATTTCTCATCGGTTGGGCAGGAATAGCCCTGAGCGTCCATCACTTCCAACTGCAGCTCGTACACGCCAGGCCACAGCATGTCAGCCGAGTGAAATGCAGCAGTTGTTTCTGGGAAACGGCAAAATAAATAAATAAATAAAATAAAATTAAATAAATAGTAATAAAAACAAAATAAAAACAATAATACTAAATGATACGTTACAGTGTTGCAATTATTACTTCAATTTAGCTTTATCAAAACCCAGTGCAAAACTTGTGCTGGACCAGTAAAAGTCATTATAAAAGCAAGGACAGCTTTAGAAGAAGAAAGCCAATACTTTCACAATGCTTCACCATAAAAGTTACTAGGTAGTGCTAATGAAGTGAAATGCCAGTGGATGATTACTTCTGGCAGTATGGGTTAAGTTTGCTAACTGTAATTTGATTGCAGCAGCATACATAAAACTATTGCGCATCAGTCCTTGGATAATGCTGAAGGTTCCTAACTGACTAAATTTTGCTTTAACAGCAATCGTTCATGTTGTCTAAGCCCCATCAGTGTGCTGAAGGGTTTAGATCACCCCTGCAGCGCTCAGTTCAGTTGAGTTATGTATTAACCACGGGAGAAGGAGGCCAGGCCAGGACAAGTCAGGCCTTTACCCAAGAAAGAGAAACCAGGCCAGAGAAAAAGGAAACTAAAATGGAGATAGAGATAATTTAGTGAGATGATGGAGCTAAGACAGACGAGGAGAATGCTGCTCATTATGTTTCTGGTATGATTCAATAAACACCAGCAGAGAGAAACACAAACTGTATTAATGAGAATTTAATCTGCTAGTCGTGTGACTTTAAAGTAATGACATATTTTATGAGCTCCATATTGTAGAAGTTAGTATTGCTTCTAATAATAATAATAATAATAATAATAATAATAATAATAATGCATTGAACTTATAAAGCGCTTTTCTAGACACTTAAAGACGCTTTCCACACACTCACACATTCACACACTGCTAGTGATGGTAAGCTACTTGTAGCCACAGCCGCCCTGGGGAGGTCTGACAGAGGCGAGGCAGCCATTTGGCGCCGTCGGCCCCTCTGACCACCACTAACACAGGCAAGTTGGGTGAAGTGTCTTGCCCAAGGACACAACAGCAGGATACCCCTGGCGGGAGCTGGAATCGAACCCATGACCTCATGATCATGAGGCAACCCGCTCTACCACCTGAGCAACTGCTGCCCCAACAGCTTCTGTCAGTGTGTCCCAGGGCATCTGTGGCTACAATGTAGTTCACCACCATCAGTGTGTGAATGTGTGTGTGAATGGATGAATATTTGACTGTACTGTAACGTGCTTTGGAGTCCTCACTCTGAAAGGTGCTATACAAGTGAAGGTCATTAACCACAACAATTGTTTTCTGAAATGTCAAAATTTAAGAACAAATACCAACAACAGGAAATATTAGCTTTGTCTTCTGAAGAGCACTTTTTTCATACCATTGATGACTTCTACATTCCACTTCCCTTTTGTACCATCTGGTAAGATTTTAAAAGTGAATGGAGCTGCGTTGGGAAAAGCATCTCCATCAAAGGCGGTGACGTGCACAGTTTTTTCATCAGAGCACAGACTGCTGCGAGAAGCCGTCAAGGTAGGACACTGGTCATTGGAGTCAGCAACCTGAATGGCTATTGTCCCCGTGGCTGTCTTTGCTGGCATGTCTGCAGGAGAAAATAACTCAGTTCAACATTAAACACACGCATGCACCTACGAACACACGCACACACACACTTCTACAATGAGAATAAAAATGAAAATGTGTTGTTTTTAAAACATCACGCTATGTTCATGTGTACTGTACATCTTGAATTGATCCAAGAACACCTGAGCAAATTTCTACGATAAGTATGTTTTATAACACAGGAATTACATGCAGCTGTGCTTAATCAGGTTTTTATAGGCCATTGAGTTTGTGTAAGTACATTTTCTTGCTGAGCTCAAGAGAGCTTTAGTAATAAATAAAGTAGTTTAATAAATGAGGCCCCAGGTTTGTCTTTGTTCAACCCCTGTGACAGCTTTCTGTCATGAACTCCTCCTCCTCCTGACCTCCTCTGCGGGCCGGGTTGGCGCAGCACTCCATTTCCCAGCATTCCCATCACCGACGCTACTCGGTGACGTCACCACGCGGAATCTATACAAGGAACTTTCACCGCTGAGCTGTCATTCAGTCATCGTCTCATGACAGACGTCAAACCGACCGAACCAAACTATTCCAAATCAATTCAGGAAAGAGAACTTTCCACGCTGTCTGCGCCCCAGCACGACAGCTCCCTACCTAAAGGAACCACAGTTCAGCCTCGACTCCATGCGAGTGCTGTATCGCCGTTCCTAAAAGCAAGCTGCGTTCCTGTTAGAACCAAACGCCAGTCACTCCGCGTCTGGGTCACACAGCCACGCTACAATCACCTCCGCTACGCTTCAGCTCAGCCCATCCGCCCTGACACTTTCCTTCTTTTATTAGTAACTGTTGGAACCGGCAACCAGATCATTCCTAGGTTCATGTTACCTTTATGACATAGGTGTTTACCTTTGGTTATTGCCAATATTTTGGCAACATAGGTGCCATTCACTAAGAAGGGCGACTCCCTGTCTGGCACCTTGTTGAGTTTGATCTCAGCTGTCTCCTCATCGATGGTGAACCAGTTGTCTGGATCATAGAATTTGGCATAACTGCAAGGAAAAGAACAATACACCATAAAGGTAAAAAGTGATAAGTATTTCTTGCTAAGAGTGAGCCGTTATGTCTCCTCCTTGAATTAAATCAGTTTGTGAGCTTGGTGGTGATGTTGTCTCCTTAGCTACATCAGACTCTGACTTTTATGGCTTGCAGCCAAATCTAAGCAACTAGATTGAGGAACAGCCCTTCCCAATCTGAGGCCAGAATGTCAGAGTGTAGCAACAGCTGAGGCTAGACTGATAAACTAGTGCCGTGAAGAGTTTTGTAAACAAGACCGGTTGATTTTAAACAAGCTTGGGTTAAACAAGAAGTCAGCGTGCAGAGGCCAGTTTAGGCGTGACGTGGGTTTCTCCTGCTGAACAGATTTAGACTAGAGCGAAGTCTGAATGAGACCTGCTATAGATTTATAATCCAGGTTAGATGTGATGAGAGCGTTAATGGGTGTTTCAAACTGGTGAAATGGAAGGGACAGTGTCTTTACAAAGAAATCAGACATGAAAGAAACTTGTCTTGAGGCTACCCCCCCCCCCCCCCCACACACACACACACAGTTTCCATTAACCTCTAGTGTATGTTAATTAGAACTAAAACTCACTAAAACAATACTATATAAATAAACCAAGTTGAAAAGAACTTAATAGAATTTAACTGAACTGAATTTAATTGAATTACAAATGAAAAAAAAACAGAATTGTTTGGAATTATTGAAAATCACAGTCGTAAAAAGATACTGGCGTCTTGTTGACAATCTGTCCATGTGACTAACCTGACATGCTCAGCTGGTTTTTTTGTGTCTGGGTCAACAGCAGCAAATACAGCAATCACGCCATCTTGCGGTGCATCGTTGGGGTCTTCAGATACTGGAATCTGCTTGGTTTTCGGTACAAATGCTGGACCCTCTGGGATGTTATTTACATTAATTTTAATAGGATAGCTTTTTGGTTTATCTGGCTTTGGTTTGCCTCCTGGTCCTGGTTTGATACCTGGCTTTAGTCCAACACCCACTCCAGGCCCAGCGACAGGCTTGAGCCCTCCAGCAGGCTTAACAGGCTTAAGTCCTAAATCAGGTTTAAGTCCTGCATCCAACCCTGCATCCAATCCTGCATCCAACCCTGCATCCAACCCTGCATCTAATTCTCCATCCAGGTCAACATCTACATCTAAATCTAGGTCTGCATCCAATCCCAAGCCTAGTCCTAAATCTGCCCCAAGTCCCAGACCAGCTCCAAGTCCTGCACCAAGTCCTGCTCCAAGTCCAGCCCCAACGCCAGCTCCAGCTGCAGCTCCAGCCCCACCTTCTCCAACCTGGACATCCACATCCATGATTACAGGACCACCTTCTACAAAAGGAGCTACATTCTCAATGAGGAGGCCAAGCTCAAGATTCTGTACTTCTTCAAAGTCTACAGGCTATGTGGCCCAGATGGTGGACAGATGGAAATCAGATGTAAGGATAACAAAGAATGAGAAGAACCCAATTAGTTTCAACAATTAAAACAGGAAATGCAAAATATTTCAAATATCAACAACAAAATTACCTTGATCAACTTCAGAATCCCCTCGTTAGTTTCTTTGTCTGTCTCGATGGAAAATAGATTATCTTCATTTCCTTTGGCAATCGTAAAGACGGTCAGCCAGTTGTCTGTCTTTGCAAGGTCCTTGTCCAGAGCTTTGATTCTCATCACAACTACATCAGCAACGTTTTCATCCACAGAGCCAGCATACTGATAAAAACATTCCAATTAAAATGTGAACTAAAACTGAGAAGTTTTATTTTATTCTAGAAATGCACATTTTACTCTTGTTCACGTTACTGCATTAAGAAAGAGAAGATTACGTAAGCAATGCATCTGGGTGAAACATCTGTTGCACATTTTGACAGTTTTTGATTTGAAAACAGTGCTACCTTCTGGTACTCTGATTTAAGATGACTCAACTACCAAGAGCTGTGTCTTTTAAGGCTGTAGGGTAGGGGTATTCAATCCCAGACCTGGAGGGCTGGTATCCAGCACGGTTTAGTGGTTTATCTAGTCCAACACACTAGATTCAGTGGTTGAATCACCTTTGCAGCAGCTCATCAGGCCCTGCAGATATCTGTTAATCGCCAGCTGATTGAAATCAGGTGAGTTAAAGTAGGGTTAAAATCAAAACGTGTTGTATACCGGCCCTCAAGGCCTGGAATTGAATCCCCCTGCTGTAGAGCCTGATGGCTCCATCAGCTGATCTGACCTTCCTTTATAGTCTTCCTGTTAGTCGCACTAGGGCAGGAGTCACCACGCTTTGTAAAGCTGAGAGCTATTTTACCATTATTGAGCTGTATCAAGGGCTACCAATGGCTACATCTTTGCCTTTAATCCATAGAATTGCTTTGAAGGGCAAAGCCTATGTGACATTGAAGGGTAGTTACGTGTTGTAACCTCAGATTCTATGAGTATAAGCACAGCCCTTTAAGGTGGTGGGCCTCACTGGTTTTGTTTGGCTTATTAACCTTAGGAGAAAAAGGATGGTCCTCCAACTCTTTTTTACAAGACCGGGCCTTGGGTGTACAGTAAAAGCTCTTCAATGATTGGCTAATTCAAAGAGGAATTAACCCAGAAGCATAGCCTGAAAGGGCTACGAGTCTGGGGTTATAGTACCCCATCAATTATTTACCTCAGATTTTTCCAGAGTGGGGATGTTGTCATTGATGTCCAACACCTTGATCTCCACAGTTCCTGTTCCACTTTTACCTTCTGGTGCACCTCCCATATCTGTTCCCTTTACCACCAGTTTGTAGAAGTCGTGTTTCTGCCAGAGTAAAAAACAAAAACAAACAAAAAACAAAATCATGAAGAATCTCCTGGAAACCTTTCACCTGGCAGCAGCTAGATCTTTATGTGTAGCCCGGCTCGTGTCGAATCTACACATTTCGATCTGGAATCTATGCAGAATAAACCAACTGAAAGAGGGAGGGGTATCTGGTGGAATATTTTGAGCTGATTAGAGGACATGCAAGGTAGTGCCCGGCTGGCACTGGGTACCATATTTTGCCTTTAGCCAATCACAGAAACAACTCAAATGACGTATACCTTGTGTGCTTGGAAAACAACAACAACTCGCTCAAGCTTCATTCATTCACACACTCGACAAATACCATGTTTTCGGGTGATTTCTGCCGGTTTTGCAAGAAGAACATGCGCATAAAGGGCAGGATTTCCCCCAGCGCTTTATAAGCCTGGCAGGCCACCAGGTTTACTTGGTCACCCACCAGGCTAAGCGTGGTCCCCCCCGGCCCAACCTTCTCCGCTGACACGGATGATGCATGGCAGCGAAACGAACCTCAGGCCTCCCCTCTGCTAATACTGACAAGAAATGGTAGCGGAGCACAGCAAAAACTCTTGATTACCCCCTTCTTCCAGTTTATCTCTCCTTCCTGTCCTTTTCTCGTCACGGTCCTAATGGTTTTTGTACTCCTGCTTTTATTTGCCCTCATACAAAAATGTATTTACAAATTTGTGACATTGAATTAATGCAGAAGAAATTGCAACTCTTGTCAAGAACTCAGTCGTGAAGTTTAATTGTGTGTTAAAAATTTAAAACAAGTATGTTACTGAGTGTGTGGAAAGCTTACCTCTCTGTCCAGTGCTGGGTCATTGACAAAGAGATCCCCAGTCTTTGGATTTATATAGAACATTTGACCTTTGTCCTTAGGCTCCTGACTGACGATGGTGTAATGGATCTCTGAATTGATTGTTCCAGCTTGGTCATCATCTTTAGCTTCAATCTTCATAACTAAGGTTCCTGTAGTGAATCACAAAAGGCCAAAGTCAAGTCACTTAAACCAAAGTGCCACAGTGACACAGATGCAGGAGGATGCAGATCGAGCTTGAAGGACAAGTGAAACACAAGAGGCGAAGAGAAAAAGAGGATACAATGAGAAGTAAGTAGGTGAGAGCAGAAAAAGGATTACATGACGTTAAGGTGTACAAAGACAAAACCAGATTTTGGATGCAAATTGTCAAAACACTTATTCCAGTTACTAACTACCAGTTAGCTGGAAGAGCTGGTTCTGATTCACCAGTATGACAGCACTGATCCATGTCAGATTAAAACACGACTTTGCAGCAATCGCAGCTGGTCAGCAGGAATCTCTTGTTAAAGTGTGTGATTAGCCAGGCTTTACAATAGTTAGCATGATGAGATCTCTAAAGGCATAAAGGGGTTCTTTATGATGCTCACAGTGAATGATGAAAGTCAATCCCCTGATCAACATGACTTGATGTGAGAAACATTTTGTGGATGTGAAAGAACCACATGAACTGATGAAATGTGATTCTCTAAAAAAAATAGTCAATGTGTACTTTTGATTTTAAAGTGTATGCCGCCAGACATGAAGTTATTATGTAGCTGAGAACGTTTCCATGGTCTACTCATCACTGATAAAACTAGAGTTCTGGTGGGCAAAGGTGAAGTAATTATGTTAGTGTGTGTACATGCATCATGTACTTACAAATACACATTCACGTAGACATGCAAATACACACATACACATACAGATACATATAGAGCTCCGGGAGTTGACATCACTTCTCCCGGCATGCAACAGTTCAAATTTAAACGGCGCCATATTGGCAGGTAGAAGCCGGCAGCTGGACTATTTGTTATTGTCAGAAAACTCAATCAGACTATGGTAGATTCCTGTTGTGCCCCAGGATGCAGAACAGACATGGACAATGTAAGGAATGAGACATCTACAGGATTCCCCAAGATCCGGAACGCCGCAAACGTTGGATCATTGTAATAAAACGCGCTAGTGACCGGGCTAAAATGAAGCTGTGGGATCCCGAGAGTAAAGGTTTTCGCTTATGCAGCGACCGCTTCATATCAGGTACTTAAAACCAACGTTTCCTCAACTGTGTGTGGTATTTATTTTAAATGCTTTCATTACGATTCTTAGTGGGCTTCCTAAACTTATTTTGGCGTGGCTTTTTCTGTCTTATTACTCATAGCAACAAGTAAACATCACGTAAAACGTTGCCTTGTGATTTCTGTGTGCTGCCGTTTACGTGTTTTATGATCACAGCAATTAACCGGCTAAGCTGTATTTAATTTTTAAGCAATGGTTGATCAATTGTCATATCACACATAAAAAGCACTTTGGATTGCTGTTATCTGTCTCACCGAGACAGATCTCAGACAGATCCTGAGACGCTCCTGCCTGACATATTTATTTTATTCACGGAAAACAATCAAACTAGTGATTTCTCTTGGCGTTCAGTTTATACATTCAAACAGCACAGCACTCTATTTAAACTACTTACGTGTAAATCTGTTATTTGTCCATCAATTTTCATCTGCGTATCCGGAGTCGGGTTGCGGGAGCATGTAGCGTCAAAAGGCCCAGACTTCCCTCTCCCCAGCCGCCTGAGCCAGCTCCTCCGGGTAAATCCCAAAGGGTTCCCCGGCCAGGTCCGGTAAGAAGTCCGCTCCGACAGCTTCTGGCGTTTTTAAAAAGTATCCCAGGGGCACGGTAAGGGTCGGAGATGTTTAGTCTATTTAATTTCTGACTATATAAAACGATTTCTTCGGTTTTAAAGTGTGAAGTAAACTCTGACGAAGTAAAATCCAAGCCGATCCCGTTCACGTTCATGGTTAGATCCGTCTTTGTTTAGCTTCTTTTACCTGCCAATATGGCGTCTACTAACAGAGAGTCACGTGGGGTCCGGAGCTCTATAGGCAAAGCTGGCCAACGTTATTTATATAACACATTTCATACACAGAAGCATTTCAATGCTTTCCAAGTGCAAGATCAGCAAGAATATAAAACAGCTGATTATGAAATTAAATACAAAATAAACAAATAAAATTAGAGGGACGAGCAAAATATCAAACACTCCAGAAGTCCGTGCGAGCTCACGATTGCTGATTGGTAGCTGGTCACGTGGTGTTAATTGCCTCTCGGAACCCCCTGTACTCTACATGATGCTCAGCGCAAAACTCGCCCCGATCTTGTGGATTCTCGCACGAGTGGAAAATCGGCTCAAAAAAGTGAAAAAGTCACACAGTGTACGCCCGGCTTTAGACTGCTGGAGGACATCCTGACCACTTTCCACACTCTACTACATTCCTCTACATTTTCTCTCTTTATTGCATTATTTCCTTCTATTTCAGTAGTTAACTTTATTTTTTCAGTGTTCTTCTCCTCAGAAGGAGCTAAAATGATGTTCTGCTGAGCTGTGGTGGCCTCATGGAGGGGGCCATCTCTTGAAAACTGTTGCTAACCACTTAAACATTCTCCCTCTCCTGATAATAACATTTTACTTTCTTTGACATAGAATGTGCTACTGCTAGTTTTGAATTAATTACAGATTCACTAAGATGAAGACAATAAAGTTTATCTTTTATTAAATACAATATTTACTAAGAAATCACAATGTAGCCATAGAAATATTACTTGGTGTATATGTTGTGTGTGTGTGTGTTTGTGTGTGTGTGTGTGTGTGTGTGTGTGTGTGTGTGTGTGTTTGCAGGCTTCATGGGTTCTTGTGGCCCTGGGTTGGATTTTTATCCCTGTCTACATCTCTTCTGGTGTAGTGACCATGCCTGAATACCTGGCCAAGCGTTTTGGGGGCTCCAGGATACGAATTTACATGTCTGTTCTGTCCCTCATTCTCTACATCTTCACAAAAGTATCGGTAAGATGCACACACATGCAAAAACATTTTCCACTTGTACTTTCAAGGTATACATTTATCCAATTTTCCAAAAATTTCACTTAAGGAGTAACCACGTGCTTGTGTTTGTCAGACAGACATGTTTTCAGGAGCACTGTTCATCCAGGTGTCATTGGGTTGGGACCTTTATCTGTCTACGGGCATATTACTGCTGGTTACAGCTATTTACACGGTGGCAGGTACACACACATGCACACACGCACACTCGAATTGCATGGAGTGAACTGTGAATGCATTGCGACCATAGCCGTAGTGTCCTGTAGATGCATATTTCTAAACACTCCGTCATCCTTAAGTGCACCACTGAGTCATAGGCTTTTTGTAGTAGGCGGTGTATCTGGTTTCACAGTCTCAGCAGGGATTCTGTCAACCAGCAGTTGGTGTTTGGCTCCTTTGGTGTTGCTGCTAACTCCCTTCAGTGCCCTGCTTATGTACCTGAATCCTCAGCTTTGCAACTAGAATGACAGGGGCTTCTGTACTGTACAGAGGCATGTGACTCCCTGGTTATAGGTTTTTCATAATCAGGACTGTTCACAATTGGGTTATCCATGGGTAGCCCCGTAGTAGCTGGTACTCACTGTGCTGCCAGGCTTTCAAATGTTTTGACTTGTGGTCCATTGACCCCAGCCTACTGGTTGTGCAGTGCACCATGCTTAAGACCAGAGGTGACAGATCATGATTTTTATCTTGCGAGGCGCTTAATAAAAGATCATTTTCTTTTCTGCCTTCCTTTGTCTTAGTCCGATTTTCAAGGATAAACAAACATGCTGCCTGTCGAATGTGATGTTTAGTCAATCATGCTCGCTCCTCCTCTGTGTGTGTGTGTGTGTGTGTGTGTGTGTGTGTGTGTGTGTGTGTGTGTGTGTGTGTGTGTGTGTGTGTGTGTGTGTGTGTGTGTGTGTGTGTGTGCTCTGTCTTCTCGATCCCCAGTGAGTCGTGGAGGATGGCTGCTTATACTGAGCCAGGATCCTCTGGAGGTTTCTTCCTGTTAAAAGGAAGTTTTCCTCTCCACTGTCGCTAAATGCTTGCTTAGTATGAGGATTGCTGTAAAGACACTGACACCAGTCAGTAAATAGATGAAACCTGCTGGGTTCCTTATATAGGAAACTCTTAACTGATTGGCTTAATGACCTGAACTGTATTGGAAAGTTTACTGTGTCATGATTTGGTGCTATATAAATAAACTTGAATTAAATACATGTACACATACATAGAAATCTATATATACACACATACACATACATATACATGTACACATGCACATATACACATACAAATACATATACACATATACACAAATACACATCAACACACACATACACATACACACACACATAAACATACACATACATATACACATACAAATTAATATACACATTTATATACACATAGAAACACAAATACACACACACACACACAAATACACATACACATACACATACACAAGACCCCTGGAGATCAATGTCAGAAAACTGTGACAGAAGATGAAAAATGTGAGTAAAGCTGCAAAATGGTAAAATGTATCCCCGTTTTAGGGCAGAAACATGATTAAAACTACAGACTTAAAACTTAGGTCTTTACTTACCTTTCTTGCTGCTCTCTGAAACATTGCCAGTGTGTAGGGTAAAGTAAGGAGGATTGTCATTCACGTCCAGGACAGTAACAGTCAGTGGAATATTGTCCTCAGCTTTGGATCCGTCTTTGTATTTAGCTATGCCTGTTAACTGTCAAGGTAAGGAAAGAGAACAGGGTTAGACTATGATCCCGTGTTTTAGAATGGGTCAAGTGCCCCTTTATTTATTTGGTGATTGTTATTCTGCCAACAAACAACAGACTGCAGTGGCAGAAATACCAATTTCTAACAGATCTTCTACGTTGGGTCAACTGAGATCACCTTGCAGCTTGGCTTGCTTTTAGCACCTCCTAGTGTCTGTTAATCAATGCATAATTTGAAACTTAACTCCTTGCTGTGAGTTCATCTTTTCAACACCTTAACTCATTCACTGCCATTGACGACTAAAGTCGTCATTTTAGATCCAACCGTTCACTGCCAATGACGACTAAAGTCGTCATTTGCATTTTTTTTACTGTTTGAGCATCGGAGCGAGCCCCCGCGCTGAGAGAACAAACATCTCAGCCCTGAAGCCGATCTTCATCCGCATACGTCACAGATCACATGACCAGGAAGCAGACCATCCATGTGTTTGGAGATTGTTTTGGGCTGTTCCTGTAAAAAAAGTGAGGCGCGAACCGGAAAAGCTTCTGCCGATCACAATTCGACAACGGATTATGAAAGAACGGATAACGCTCGAAACACGCGGCTTCTTCCTGATGTAAGAGGCGAGTCTCCTCTTTGTTTAGGTTGTTTTGGCATCGACATCATGCTAGCGCGCAACGTTCTGTGACTCTTAAAAAAACAGTAAAAACGGTGAAAAACGCTGGCAGCGAAGGCCGTTAGCGATCAGGAAACGGCTGGCAGTGAATGAGTTAATCTTAGTGCTGAAATGTCTCCCCAACCTTCATTAGTTTCTACAGGAGTGGTTCATCACTAAATAAAACAAATCAGCTGTGTTCATGATCTAAAACATTTGTAACGTAGGTCCTTTTTGGTTAAAGCAATAATATAGAATACAGTGTAAAGACATGATAGTCTGCGTGTGATAAAAAAAATACAGTCATGAAACCAATATATGTCCTTGTTAGAAAGTAGAACATTTTGAAAAAGAACAGCAAAGGTAAAGCAGTTCAGACATCATTCACAGAAATTCTAGAATGACAGTTTTCATGACTCACATTGAAGGATGGGTGTGTCTCTCGATCAAGAAGACCCGTAACGGTTATAAATCCGGTGTGGTGGTCGACCTTGAAGAGGTTGTATGGAGGTTGGTCAGCACCTGGTCCTGTGAGGTAATACTCCACCGTGGATTGCACCTCTCGATCAGATCGAATCTGAAAAACATAACATAAAAAACAAGTGTTGGTTTTTGTTTCCACCTTGCAATTTCCTTGTCTGAAATTTAATCTTCCTAGTTGCAGATGCTTCAAAATGTTAAGGTGCACTTTTTCTCCACTGTTGAGAAAAATAAACCATATTTCAGAAGCTGTTTGAAGCTGGCTGCAATAAAATAAAAAACATCCGGTTTTAAAATCCGCACCTGCTGAGAGGAGTGTGAGATAATTTATACAATTATTTAATTTAGAGTAAATCAGCAATGATAAGAAACATGAATATCTCAGTGTGTATTTATTTTTCTTTATTGCTCACCTCCTCTTACTGTGGTATACTTTTATGATTTGGTATTTTTACTCTTGAAAAAGGTTATGAATCTTGGACTTGGGCTTTGTTTGTCCCTTTGCATTTCTAAAAACAATATTACAATCTTTTGCCTTCATCTGCTACTTCCTGTGTCCAACAAATGGGTACATTTGGTCAGAAAATACCCTTTTGGATAGTGTAGTCACGTTTGTCTTGCTTCCTCTGTAACATCAGCATCTAATTATTCTTGTAATGTTGCTAATCTGTTTAAAAGTTAATTGTGGGGAGTGAAAGCTCATCCGTAGGAATTGCAGCTCCAAATGAAAGAGATTGTGAATGGTTGAACACCGCTAAAATGAGATACAAACAAGGCTTTGAAGAAAATGTAATATTGAGACTGATTAAAACATCAAATGTTCTAATCTAACCTTTTTTTCTCTCATTAAAACGTGTTTGCTCTTTCTACTTTATTTTGGTGGTGGAGGCAGCCATGGTCTGTTAACCAGATGAGAGACTGTAGTTGTATGTATTATGATATATTATGTACACACCAAGCTACACGAGATATGTCTAAAGATAAGTTGCTGCAGGCCGCTAGAGACTAACAACCAGATGGACATGCTAACAACTAGAATGGCATGAAATGAGTTGGTTCATCAATAAGTTAACAAGTAGAGATGCTTATAAGCCAGCTAATTGGGCCTCAAGTCAACAGTGAATCTGTCACAGTGGGCCATCTGGATGAAGGCTCAGAGTTTTTAACAGTCTGACTTTTTATTTTCAAATAACATTGCAAAAGTGAGAGAGTACCAATACCCTTGGTTATTTTACCAGTAACTCATGTAAAATTCAAACCTCTTTCTTCATCATCCAAATAAAAAGCGTTGAGATGTCTGTTTGTGCTGGTGCAAATTTTTATTTATCTGCATGAGTTGCTTCTTATTTTCTAGGGAAAACTTCATTTTACTTATTGTAAACCTTTTGTAACACTGATATTTAAAGGCGTGGCTTACTTATTTATTCAATACGTTTGTAGTGTTCTCTAGTGAATATCAATGTCTTATGAGTCGTTAAAAAAATAAAAAAGCTATGATGCTCCTGTTCTGACGTGTAGAAGTTCGCTGTTGCAGAGGTGGGTAGAACACAGCAGGACTGCTCATTATTATTAATGATATGCACACACCTTCCTTCTGAGTCAGTGCGTTTACATGCAGCCAGTAACCCTTTTAAAACCCGAATATTCACAATAACCCGGTTTCGCAGGTCCATGTAAACACCGCCAAAAACCCGGATATGCTCATAACCGGGTTTTTAAAAACCCGGTTACTACACCTGGGGTAACCCTTTTCTAACCCGAATGTTTGGTCGTGTAAACGCATATCGGGATATCCCCATCAAAGCGTGTGTTCTGCACATGCTCTGTTCGCAAGGAATCTTGGTCTTTTGAGTAGCGAGACGTCTTGTATGCGCCAGAACACCGGAAGTAAACAACAAGTTGGGAGCAAAATGGCGAGTCGCGGCACAGCACCACACTTTTGGAGTGACGAGGAAACTAAGGCGCAAAGAAACGCGGTCGCTATCTCTTCTGAACTGGGAAACATGTTGTTTTCACGGATACCGGAACAAGAAGAACCGGAAATGACGCATATTGCGTCTGGACGTAGTCCACACGTCCTGACGCTACCCCAACGTCCGCATTTAAATCGGGTAATGCAAGTTAGGTGTAACTCTTTCTATTTATGCTTGTAAACGGGTTATTCTGATCAACTCAGAAACTCGAATCCCGACCTTAACCCGATCATAACCCGGATATTGGCTGCATGTAAACGTACTCATTGACTAACAGAATGTGTTCAGCCATGCTGCAAAGTCACTATCACAAGACACTCTCCGCTCTCTCTCCTCACTACAAAAACATTTCAAAAGCCTTCCTGTGGGCGGGCACAAGCCAAGAATGCCACGAATGCAAATTCACAGTGTGACATAGATATGTGAGGATTTTCAAATCCTAGCATTTCACTGTCTATTTTCCATCAGCAGCTGATGCAGGAGATAGGTGTAGGAGATTGTTTTCATGTTCAACCTGCCTGAAAACCTCAGTGACTGATTATAAACAGAAACAATAATCAAAAAATGTGTTATTTAATGTCAACCGTACCTTTAATCTTTTAAAACTCATTCAGTCGCTTTGACAACATCACCACATTTTATTTTTAGTCAATGTAAATTACCTTTGCGATGAATTCCCTGTCGGTGTAATCCGTGTTCTCGTACAACTTGGCTGGAGGAAGGATCCACTCTCTTCTAGTTCTTTTCAAAGTCTTCTGCTCTTCTGCTGCCGTACTGATCATCTGAAATGATAAGAGACTGTTGTGAGCTCAGTGCAGAATGCTGGGACGTGGTCAGCTCAACCATGTTAACATCATGCAGTCATGATTTCCACAGCATCAACATTGACATATTCAAACACGATACAGTAATTTCAATAATCTCTTAAGTACTTCTACTAGTTTATAAATAAATTAATGGCATGGGGCCAAAATACATGTCAGATCTCATACTATTTCATTACTTCATGTTAATTTATGATTTTATGTACATTGTTGGTGCTCGGCACTCTGGGCACCCTTGATTGGTGGCTTTAAAGGGCTTTACAAATAAATAAATGAAATGAAAATTTTCATGTATTCATCAGCCTTTGAATGAATGTTTCTTATGCTGCACCTTCTACACTGTAACTGCTCACTTTTTAACTTAGCCTTTTTTATTTTAATTTGACATCAAATTAAAGTTTTAGTTTTTTAAATTTGATTTAAATATAAATAGATTTTAATATTTTGTGTTCTTTCTCCTTGAAAGCACATTGAATTGCTTCTGTGTATGAAACGTGCTATGCAAATAAAGCTGCTCTGTCTAATTTTCATACGGACCAAACAGAAGTCTCTTTCAAAACCCATGTGTGCAGTAAATAATATGAGGGTTATTTTAATTATGCCTCCCATTGAATATACAAAAAAAAAAAAGCTCAAAACCAAATTTACTGAAAGATCTGAGATCTTTTGCAAATTTGTGTTTTGCTACTAAATGTAATTCTTAAAGCTATCACAGAGACTCAAATATTTATCACTGGCTAATTGGTGCTCATATTTGTGTCTGGTTTGCTAATGCTGGTGGTGAAGCCGCGGAGGAAGAAGAGCTATATGAAGTGACAGGTGTATCTGTAAAACTATTTGTTATCCCCACTTGAGATGATGAGTGTGTTGGACCTAAAAATAATTTACCAATGATAAGGTACCGTGCCATTGTCTCTCCTTTACATTTTGAACACAACACCTAATTGTGGAATTTTACAGCAGATAATCCATCACATCCAGATGATAGCAAACCAAGAACCAAAGTAAGTCTCCCCTACCTACCTGGATTAAAACATTTTTACTTTTTAATCAGGGCAGTACCCTATTCTTTTACACGAAGGGAGGGGCTTAACATTTGTACTACAGCCAGGGGATTTCTGGCTCCTTTCTTTCTGGTTCTTCCACTGATTAACGATCAATACTCAAAGGGAACCATATGGTGCCAACTTATCTGATTTCCTGTTACAACATTTCTGTATCCATGGTAACAATTTTAACAACATGGCTTTTGTTTCATCAAACAGCTCACAGACTTCCTGTTTCAATCAACAGCACACAAAAATAGATTAATTTGACTAAGCAACCTCAGCACCAGACTTGGATTGGCTCCTTTTTCCCAGCACACATAATGATCTAGTATACGTATCGTTGTACTGCAGCTGTTTGGCGTGCACTGACTATTTAGCAAGCACAGACTGGTTGACATGCACTGACTGTTGTGCATGTACATACATGCTAACAGTGATTCCACACAAGTGTCAAGTGGCTCTTTTCCACTAATACCCACTTGGCACAGCTTGACTTGCACTGTAGCACAGCGTGATCCGTACCTGACCCAAACGCAACAATGGAGGACATGGTAGTGATTTTGAACATTTGAGATGAACCTGGCTGGAACATTTTGTTCAGTCTGTGGCTTTTTGTCTGACTCCAAAATGTAAAGACTCAGAAAAGGCTCCAGGCAGCCCACCCCCTAACAAATCAGTGACTCCACTCCCAGCCAATCTGCAACCAACCTCTCTCTGATGTTGGCTTTTCAGTCTGGCTCGGTACGCTTGGAACCACATTAAAGTCAGTGAAGAACACTGACTCCAGACTCACACACAAGATAACAAATTCCCGCAGATCTCCCCCAAAGCCATCATCACACACTGGTGAGTTTCATCTCCACATTTGACCCATCCCCATGGAGGGGAGCGGTGAGCTGCAACGGTGGCTGCACTCCGGAACTATCTGGTTGCTTAACCCCACAGTCCAACCCCTTAAAGCTGAGTGTCAAGCAGGGAGGCATTGGGTCCCATTTTTAAAGTCTTTGGTATGACCTGACCGGGAATCGAACCCGAATCACCCGGTACCAGGGTTAAGCGTTAAACTGACAGTCTGATTTTGTAACATGATGAACGGCACAGATGAGCCTAAAGTTTTTTCTCATGTTTCTCTGCTCCGTGATGATTTATGGAACTCTTCCCATCAGTTCCCTGATGCCTGGAGGTTCACACTCCTGTGCAAAAAGAACCGCCAGTGTCGGCTCATACTCCCACAGGAAACGCGTCTTCATTTTTACATTCAGAAGCGTTTAGAAAAATGTCTTGTTTCTTCTTCTCCTTAGTTCTTGGTAGTACACATTAAATATCCTGAAAAGCCTATTTAAAACACCCATTTTTAATATTGATGAGATAAATATTTTTTGAAAACTATTTAGTGGTATTTGTTAGTAAATCATGTCAACTGGACATGAATATGTTTCATGGATAAGCAAAATCCAAAGCCAAGCCAATTTTATGTGTATAGCGCATAATAACATTGTGCTTCACAGAATTAAAGTTAAAAACAAAACACACAACAATACACAACGTAAAAAGCATAAAAAACTAAAAGACTCTCATTCTGAGTTCAGGACTAAAGCACAAAAGGTCAGTTCAGACAGAGTAAAGGTTTGAACACATAACAAGGAAGAACATTTTGTCTTTAGATGCTTTCCTTCCAGAAGGGCCACAAACAGGTCAGACTGGAATCGTGGAAGTGAGAGTTTCCACCCTGACACTGATAAAGAGGTCAGACTCAAGTCGAAAGTCGGAAGGCTGCCAGCAGTGAACTGTGACACATATCATGTGTGGACTTTTATCTGGCTGTTCAAGGCAACAAAAACATGGTGAAAAAAAAAATAGGGTTTCATTTTAGAAAATGTTTTGTCTTTTGGGCAAATGTCTGATCTTTTTAAAATAACTGACTCAAAAAATATTTTTTTTGTTTTATTGTTTTTTAACTGTTAGTTCTAGGAATTTTGTTGTTTTTCTTTTTTATCTTTTATCTCTGTTTTACGTGACTGTATGACGCTGGTTTAATTAACTAACATTTTTAGTGTACAGCACCTTGTTTGGTTGTAATGCCTTGTTGAATGCGCTTTATAATAAAATGGTATGGTATGGTATAACATCTGGATTTACAAATGAAATGAAACACAGTTTTGCTTCAGTCTTGTTGTTCAGGGGGAGCATGATAATACTACACCATTCTCACTGGGACACCAGCTGATAGCACCTAACAGTTTAATGATTGGCCGCCATTTTGTGCCAAGCGTCATGTTGTTTTCACAGTCGCCATTTTGCCACATCAACGCGATACGGGCAGCTAGTGCGAGTATTCTTTGATGTTTCTCAGTTACCTCATTTCAAATTTGGCCTCTCACTAGTTCACCCCTCACTCACACACACACACACACACACACACACACACACACACACACACACACACACACACACACACACACACACACACACACACACACACACACACACACACACACACACACACACACACACACACACGCTAGCTAGCTGTATAGATAAATGAGGAAAATTGGTTTTAATGCAAAAATCAAAAGACATATATAAAATTAAAATAAATGGTTGTAAAGAAAACAAAATTCAGAGTGGAAACATTATCAGAGAACTTCGAAAAGTGTCCAACAACAGTGAACCTAAACAATCTGTCAGAATGAAAAATGAAAGCATGGGAAGTCAAATTTCAGAAAATATAAATAATCCACGTACTTCAGGTTTATTTCAAAGCATTTAACTTCCTTTTTAGAATAACTAAGTCTGCATCTATAGATTCACACTTTGTTCCTAGTTGGGTTTATTTATGCTAACGCAACATGAATCAAGTTCTCGAAAAAGCAGTCAGGCAACTTTAGCTTGTCACTTTCTGTTGCTACAAAAACTGCCACCTTGAATCAATCTTTGAATAGTTATTGAAGCTGGGAAAACACCATCATATCAACTGTAGCGTTTAGTTACAAATCAGTTAAACATGAGAGAAGGCAACATATGTCTGTGAGAAATTACGTTCTGTCCTGTAAAAGGCTCTTCCGAGGTTTGCAGCAAGTTCTGGTTTGTCAAGTTGGAAATAAAGTAAGTACTCACCAAGAACAGCGCTAGTAGAAGGAACAGTCTCATGTTTGAGGAGTAGAATTGAAACGTGATCATTTGTGAAGCAGCAGCATCCACCAGGTCGTTGCTTCTTCGTGTGTAATTTTACAACTTTCTACAACTGTCAAAATCAAAAACTGCTGATGAGCCTTTTTGTTAAAACGCCAGCATCGCCCCTAGTGCACCACTCCTAGTTAGGCAGCTACCTCGAACCCTGCATGTCATTATTCTTGTACCTTGCTGCCTCTCACATGCTTGCATGTTTCCAGAAGGTGTGCCCTTCCTACAGTTGAAAGTGTTCAGGTATAGCCTCAGGGATGAATACCTGGCAATGCTTAACAGAGACAGTAGAAAAAACTCCACCGAAAGTAGTTTTTTAAATTTGGATTTTCTGCCGATTTGGTAAGTTTATTCAGTTCCAGAGTACTTAGTGTATGTCTAATTTTGTTTAAAATTTAAATGATTTTTTAAATGTAAGTGTTGAAGGGTTGCAGCATGGTCCAGAGAGCATTTTGCTGTGCAGCGTGAGTTGCAGGTTCAAAGCTGGGCTGTGACCTTCCTGCATGGAGTTAGCATGGTCTCCTCATGCATTCATCAGTTCCTCCCACCACCCATGAACATCAATGTTCCCCTCTAGCCTACTTCAGAATAAAAGCCCACATTTTTGAGAGCACAATGTGCATATAATCCAAATGGACACAATGGAGGACAGGGACACTGGGTCCTCTTTGTGAAGCCATGCCTGTGGGACAGGATTGAATGAATCTTAGACATCGACTGCCTGATACACGGTTCCTGAAACTGTCTTTAGGGACATGAAAGAGCTGAAGTCTAAATGCACAATTGGGCAATATTAATGCAAGGCTCACCTCAACTCACTGGGTGGACTCTGGCACCAGTGTTCTGGAACGGAGCTGGACTCTATTGAACTCAGAATTGGTCCTGGTTCAGAGAAAGCAGTCCGAGTTGTCGTCTTCTCGCTGATCAGATTTAGAAGATTTCATCGCTGATGTATGTGTTGACAGTGTGACCTGGATGGGTAAGATTGAGTGGAATGGCAGGAGACAGGGAAACAAGGTTTAGACTCAAGTTGCACTTAATTATAAAAACAGACTCATAGCTCAAATTGGAAAATACTTCTAAACACCCGAGACTGGAAGGTTGGCACTCAAATGAACGTGAACAGCGTATCACCTGTAATGAGAAATGAAAGTGAGTTGGTTAGTAAGCCACAGACTAGAAGGGGCGAATGGCTGAACATCCAGCTGATGTGACCTAACTTTGACTGATGTCAAATAACCAGGCTTAATCAAATCAAATCAATCAAATCAAATCACTTTTATTGTCACGTCACATGTGCAGGTACACTGGTACAGTACATGCGAGTGAAATTCTTGTGTGCGAGCTTCCCAGCAACAGAGTTGTGCAAAAATACAGTAACGTAAAAACAAGCTAAATAAAAAAATGGCTAATCTAAGTAATAATATGTATAGCATGTAAGGTATATACATTACTGAATGTGTGTGCTAGTATTTTATTTATTTATTTATTTTTCCACATGTGTGCATGTGAGTGTGTGTATAGTGTGTATATACGTGTTCAAATGAATAAAGTAAACAATAAGATAAGAGATATAAAATGTACAGAGGTTGGTATGTGCAAAACAGTGGCATCACTGTACAGTATGGAGTGTGTAATGTTGGAGTTTCAGTAGTGAGGGTGAGGTGTCTGCGTTGTGTTCAGCAGTCTGATGGCCTGATGGAAAAAGCTGTCTCTCAGTCTGCTGGTTCTGGACCGGATGCTGCAGAACCTCCTTCCTGATGGAAGTAGTCTGAACAGTTTATGGCTGGGGTGACTTGAGTCCTTGATGATCCTCCCCGCTTTCCTCAGGCACTGCTTCCTGTAGATGTCTTGGAGGGAGGGAAGCTCACCTCCCATTATCCTTTCTGCACACCACACTACTCTCTGGAGAGCTTTGCGGTTGTAAGCGGTGCTGTTGCCATACCAGGTGGTGATGCATCCGGTGAGGATACTCTCAATGGCACAGCGATAGAAGGTCCTGAGGATGCGGCGGCTCATTCCAAATCTTTTCAGTCTCCTGAGAAAGAAGAGGCGCTGCTGTGCCTTCTTCACTGTATTGTTCGTGTGCACTGACCACGTAAGATCCTCAGCCAGATGAACTCCAAGGAAACGGAAGCTGCTCACCCTCTCCACAGCGTCGCCGTTGATGGTGATGGGTGTGTGTATTCCTCTGCACCTCCGGAAGTCCATTATCATCTCCTTTGTCTTTGTGACGTTGAGGGTGAGACGGTTGTCCTGACACCAGTGGGTCAGGGCGCTGATCTCCTCCCTGTAGGCCGTCTCATCGTCGTTGGTGATGAGACCTACCACTGTGGTGTCGTCCACAAACTTCACAATGATGTTGGAATGATGTTACAATGATGTAATCTGGATTAACTATGTGCACTAGGGCTTATGTTAAGTAAAGTTTATATAAACTAACTACAGCTGACATGAACTAAATAGGGCTAATGTAAATTAACCAGTGTGAGCCATGCTGATGTGAGTTAAGACTCAGTTATTGCTGCCAACAACATTATGTTCTCTGGATGCTGGACTCACAATGGCCCCACAGATAAACTCCGTAGTGAGGTCTTGCTTTTATCAGCTTCGCCGCCTTACTCGCCTCAGACGAATCCTGAAACGGAGGCATTTGGAGTCAGCCATCCATGCCTTCATTACCTCTCGCTTGGACTACGTAAACGCCCTCCTCGTTGGTGTTCCGGTATCCGCCCTGAATCGGCTGCAGGTCGTTCAGCACGCTGCTGCCAAGCTCTTGACAAGTACACACCGACGTAGCCACATTACCCCTGTCCTGGAACTTCTTCACTGGCTCCCTGTCATTTTCAGAGGCAGTTTAAGTTACTGACTTTTGTATTTAAAGCTCTCAATGACCTGGCACCTCCCTATCTCTCTGACCTGCTCACTCCATATGTGCCCACGCGCACGTTGAGGTCGGCTGACCTTTTGCTGCTGTGCACGCCGCGGATGCCATTCAAATTGCGGGGTGAACGAGCATTTGTCCATGCTGCCCCAAAGCTGTGGAACTCGTTGCCCATTGGAGTTCGGCAGGCTCCATCTCTGGCGGTTTTTAAATCTCGTTTAAAGACCCACTTTTACACTTTGGCTTTTAGACAGTGACTCGTTTTAGTGTTTAATTGTATCATTGTTTTAATGTGTTCTTAGTATTCATCATGTTTTATCTACTTTTGATTGGGATTTTTATCCTCAGTTTTAGTTATTTCTAATGGTTGTTTTTTGTTTTAGCCTGTGCAGCACTTTGGGCAGCTCCCATGCTGTGTTTTAAATGTGCTATATAAATAAACTATGCTATGCTATGCTGTTTGTTTTCCATAGAATGGTGACTGACCCCTCTGTGTTTGGATCACGACCCTGATCTCTCAGACGTTGACTGGATCAAGCAGAAGGCCTCCCATTCTAAGCCTGGTTGTGGTTCTGCTGGAGGTTTCTCCATGTTGGAGAGGAGTTTTCCTGTCCACATCTCCCTACCCCGGTGGATTGTGTTGAACTGAAGATCATGCCAGTTGGTTTCATTATCAAGCACAACTTTTATTCATCTAGTATTTTATAGAATCCGATTGTTTTGAAGCATATTCTGATTGCACCTAAAGCTGGATGTGTTAAATGGAGCTGCGATTTAATAATATTGGAATTAAATTTCAAGTTAAAGTCCCATCAGTTGTCACACATACTGATGTGTGTGCAAAATTTGTTCTCCGCATTTGACCCATCACTTGGGGGAGCAGTGAGCTGCAGACACAGCCACGCTCAGGAACCATTAGGGGGTTTAACCCCCAATCCAGACCCTTAATGCTGGTTGTCAAGCAGGGAGGGTCCCATTTTTACTCCAAAGTCTTTGGTATCACTCGACCAGGAATTAAACCCTGATCTCCCAGTCTCTGGGGGCACACTTTACCACTAGGCCACTGAGCTGGTTAAATGCCTTGAAAGGAGCTTTTAGGACTAAAAGGGATTTCATTCACTTCACTGGAACAGTTGTGATTTGGCTCTGTATAAATAACCTGACTGGAAAGGAACAAACAAACTTCACATGTAGATAATTTTATGCATGGGAGAATTGACGAAGACTTTCAGTGTCTTTATGTGGAGCACATTATTAATAATAAACCAGTTGAACTACCTGACACACCTTTCTTAGGAAAGAGAATGATTCCCTGTCTGTAGCAGGCTTCCACATGTCCTTGCACTGAACGGTTTGTTTTGTTGCCAGTATACCCAAGGTGAACTTGGATTGCCTTTTGAATTACTTTCAGAATCATAAGCCTTTTAATTCCCACAGCTACCTAATCACGTCAGACCAAGCATTGTGATAATCCATTTTATTTCAATCTAGTGCAGTTTATTTCATGACAGAAACTTAATAGATATTAAACAATCAAAGTTTCAAAAACAGTAGTTCTGCAACCATTATTATTCATCTTCTTAAACCTCTTCATCCAGTAAGGGTCACAGGGAACTGGTGCCTATCTCCAGCAGTCAACAGTAAGAAGGTGGGGGACACCTTGGACCCAGTCCATCACAGTGTCTCTCACAGGGTCTCTCACAGGGTCCCTCACGAGGTCCCTCACATGGTCTCTCACAGGGTCCCTCACAGGGTCCATCACAGGGTCTCTTACAGGTCTCTCACAGGGTCCATCACAGGGTCCATCACAGGGTCTCTTACAGGTCTCTCACAGGGTCCATCACAGGGTCCATCACAGGGTCTCTTACAGGTCTCTCACAGGGTCCATCACAGGGTCCATCACAGGGTCTCTTACAGGTCTCTCACAGGGTCCATCACAGGGTCCATCACAGGGTCTCTTACAGGTCTCTCACAGGGTCCATCACAGGGTCCATCACGAGGTCCCTCACATGGTCTCTCACGGGGTCCATCACAGGGTCCATCACAGGGTCTCTTACAGGTCTCTCACAGCGAAACCAGCTTGGTTCTGTTTGTGTCAATGCTGAGGTAAATGAATTGATTGTGTTGCTTCCAGTTTGATTCACTTGCAGACTGAGTTGTTGGTGCCACCAGGTCTCTGAGATGTTTTTAAAACAGAGTTTTTTTGTTACATTTCACATATTGGGGCAGCAGTAGCTCAACAGGTTGAGCAGGTTGTCCAGTAATCGGAAGGTTGCAGGTTTGATCCCGGCTCCGGACAGAGAATTCTGCTGTTGTGTCCTTGGGCAACACACTTAACCCACCTTGCCTGCTGGTGGTGGTCGGAGGGACCCATGGCGCCTGTGCTCGGCAGCCTCGCCCCTGTCAGTGCGCCCCAGGGCAGCTGTGGCTACATTGTAGCTCATCCCCATCAGTGTGTGAATGTGTGTGTGAATGGATGAATGATACACTGTAGTGTAAAGCGCTTTGGAGTCCTTACTCTGAGAGGCGCTATACAAGTGCGGTCATTTATTTATTTATCATATCTGTGTGTAAACATTTCCGATACAACCATTTTCAACTTGCTCATCTCTAATGGATCTCTTTTGGCCTTTCAACTTCTTAGACTGGTTAATTTTTCAAAGTATGCTAACTAGTGTACAGTGATGGCTGGTGAAAAAAATTATTGATGGGGCAGATTAATCATCCTGGTCCAGTGTAGACCATCAGTAAGAAAATGACAACAATTCCACAACTATCATTTGTTTTCCTTCTCAAAATCAGCAGTTTCAGCAGTTTCAGAGACAGTTGACTGTTTACATGTTACTCATCATTACTCACCAATTACTAAAGGTGGAGACAGTTTATATCTAAATTGCTTCAGGCTAATCTCTATATTGCTTGATTCTCCAAAATCATTGAAAGGTTGGTGAACAAACAGCACACTCACTACCTGGACTCACCCAGTCTCATTTCTCCCATTCAGTCTGATTTCAGATCTGGTCACGAGGGTACCTCAGGCAGTGTTGGGAAAGATCAATATTTATATGAACTAGTTCAACGTTCAGTTCACACAATTTAAAATGAACCTGTTCCAACCCTTTTAAAGATCTCGATTAACAATATTGTTTAAGCTACTTGCAGTCCTCATATCTGTTTGTATGATGCTGACACAGCTTTGTACACATGTAGGTCTTTGAATGCTGCCTTGGCTCGTAACAGCACCGCTTTAACAGATGTCAACATGCCTTCTCTAACATTTACTTTTGTTTAAATACCAGCAAAATGAAAATCATGATTATCAACCATAATTTTCCTTAATCCACCTGGACTGTACAGCCATACCACTTGTCAGCTTCTATAAGTATTTGGGTATCTGGCTTGACGGCTCACTTTTGTTTGATATTCACAATATTACATTAATTTCTAAAATCAAATCAAGGACATTTTTCCTTTACTACAAAAGGTCATCATTTAGTCATTCTGCAAAGGACAACGTGAACAGTCCTCCCCATTTTAGGTGACATAATCCATAGGACTGCCTCTAAAACCCTTTAGTAAAAAAATAATAATAAAAAAAATAAAAAAAGGCAAAACTCCTATTTAATCTACCTTCAGTATCCCGCTATTCCCGCTATGATCAATTATTTCTAATCTACATTTCTTACTGCATTTGGACGATCTTGACTGCTCGGAACTTATTGTGTTGCTATAATTACGTTGTTGTTTTATGAGTGTTTTAATCCTGTTGTAACATGTTTGTTTTCTTTTCTTTTTTTTCATATTTAGTTAAAAGAAGACATTGCATACTTATGTACTACTGTACATTTACATACTGTAAAAATGGCTTAGGCTAATTTCCATCTGCAGTCCTCTGGCAGGTTGATGTTGCTAAAACAGTCAACGACATAGACATAGATATATAAAAAAATAAAATAAAACAAGTAAAAACATATTGTGCAGCAAGGACACATACGTGTTGGTTTAAGATGGATGTCAGGTAAAGTGTCTCATTTATATATTAATCCAAAGTCATATATGACTGCATATTTGAATATCTTGTAGCCACAGTTTCAATCCTGTTTTGAAAGTAACAAAACTTGTGCTTCCCCTCACAACAGGAGGTATGCTGTTAAAGAATGTTGAGCCTAGAAATGATAATACGCTTTGAGAAAAAGATTTTTGTCTAAAGGGAATCTCACAATGGTGGCTCAAGTTACTCTAGAAATGTTCCTATGTGGTTTTTGCTTAATGAACTCATTCAGTGGGGGCTAAACCATGAATGACTTTATAGACCAAACAGGCAGCTTTAAACTGTTTAAAATGTTTGAAACACAGTAGAGTATATTTATCAAGAATAGGGCCAGGGGCGGCGTTAGGCCCGGCTACTTTGGCTGAAGCCCCGGATGTTTCATCAAAAGCTCCGGATCTAAATCGCGGAAGTAACTTGCAGTACCAAAGTCCAACAGAGAGGGAGCAGCTGGCAGTAGTTTGTATACAGCCTGCCTGAGCCTCCACCACTGAAGAAGAAGCCCTTCAGTAGTCGGCTTCTTCTACACTCTCTGCCTGAAACACATGAGTGAAGATGGACATAAGGACGTTTTTTAGACCAAAAGTACAACGACAGAACCTCAGCTTTGATGAGACTGGTGTTGACTCAGATTTGTGCGTCTTATTTGAAAATATTTGTTGTGCTGCTGGTTTGCCTAAAGTTAGCTTATCAGGTAAAGTTCTTGGAGAAAGAAAGGGAATATTTACTATCATCTCACACTAAACACTAACAGGAACAATACTCTGCCCTGAAAATGCTTAATGTGTAGCTTCAGATGAAAAATTATGTGGTACAAGACAAATATGATGTTGACTAGTGCGTGTCGTGTGTGTGTGCGCGCGCGTGTGTGTGTGTGTTAAGCCCCGGATCTTCTTCAGTCCTAAATCCGCCCCTGAATAGGGCAATAATTGTACAACACTGGTTTCTTGTCCAGGATTTTCAGTGCTCTTTTATAGCATGTTTCATCAGCTAACCCCAACAGAAGAAGTAGTAAATGACCAGCTGGTCGTGCAATAACTAATGTGAGACAGTATCATAGAATGTAAAAATATGCTTGCTGCTTTATTTGTCAGAGACATATTTAAAATTACACAAGTTGCAGTTTATGATTTTAACAATATTTTGCACGTTTTCTGAAAGATCATCATAAGTTCAGCAACACTCCTAGGTATTAGAATTGTTCAACATTTTGGATTTCTTCACTTTTCAGATAAACCTTTGCTGGAGCCAGTCTTAATGCTGGTTTAGAGAAAAACATGCACACCATTTTTTTAATGTTTAGACAAAGACATGAGTCATCCATCCACTTCTGAAAGTCATCTAAAGCAAGTGAAAGTTGTTGAGCTGCATCTTGAGGACTTTAGTAGTGTCAGAAATTACTGTATCATCAGCATACATAATAATATCCACATTTTGACATACATTTGGTAAATCATTAACATAAAGTCAAGACAGTAAAGGTCCTAGAATAGACCCTTCCTTGGGGGACACCTACTGGAGAAGAACGGTAAGGTGGTTTACTGTCACATACCTGTACACGTCGCCTTCTAGCTGCTAGATATGATTGGATCCACTGAATTGTGTGATCTGTAAAATGAAATGCTGCAAGTGTAGAGGTGAATTTACAATGGTTCACTGTGTCAAACACTCTTTTAAAATCTATAAAAACAGTAGCAACACATGTATTTCAATCCAAATATGATTGAACCTTTTCAATAAAAACACATGGCAAAAGCCAAATTGCATAGGGTGTAGGGAGTGAATACCACAGTTGTTCTAAAATAGATTTAGCCACCCGTTTCTCGGCAATTTTTAAGTAATGGGTAAAATGCTGATCAGTCTTTAGTTGACAGGGTCTGAACCTTGTCTTTTCATATCTTCTGCTCTTGTTGCGTCTTGGCCAGGTCATTGCTATACATGATAATGGGTTCTAAATAGACTCACTTGGTTAAATAAAGGTTACATAAATAAATTAAAATAAAATAACTAATTTAGACTTACTTTATTCTTTGGAAAATAATTGTATCAAATACAATACAGTTCTCAACTGTATTGCAAGCAAGTGTTTTCAGCTCAAACTATACATGTCAACACTGTGTGTGTGTGTGTGTGTGGGGGGGGGGGGGGGGCACTTTATATGGTTCAGCCACCACTGATAGCAATACAAATGTTCCCTCATTTTCTAGCAGGAACAAAGCTTCTAGTTCCCCAAAAACATGAAATACAGCGATGTCGGTTGGCTGAATATGTATGATCTTTCCCCATTACCCCGTGGACGAGCTAATACTGTACACCATATTTATTTACTGAGTGTAGAGCAAAAGCAGTGAAACCATGCCAGCAATAAATAAGTAGCACATCATTTATGGAAAACTTGCATCTGTAATACTTATTACTGAAATATATGAACCAGACCATAGACAATTTATGAAGTAAATGAATTTGCTATTGATATTTGATAAACATTTTAGTGCCAGTTTCTGAATAATCTCAAATCAGACAATATTTCATTTAAATGTCCAAACGTAAAACAAACCTTGAACCTGCACTTTATGCAAAATATCCCCACAGAAATACATTAACAGCTAGTAGCAGTAAGGCATTCACGTTGCAGACATTCCTCCACAAAGACTTTTCCTGTAGGAAGTTGAGATCCTGGTTTTCCACTGCAGGATGTGCAGATTGGACTTGTCTACTCAAACCACAGAGCCACATCACAATTCTTTTCCATGTAGGTTGTGGTAAGGGCTCATCATCGGGTCTGTCACAGTTCACTGGGTCAGGTGTTGCCTGTGAATTTGAAAGGTCGATTCGGGGCTCTATATCATTTCTGGACCACCAGGTCAATCTGTAGAGCTAGGCATGAAATAAAAAACAAATAGATCAAGATTAAAATCTATGGAGGATTGGCATTTTTTTTTCATAAAAAGCCCAGACATTAACGACATTGCGTTTGACAAAAATTTTGACTCATTATGCTACATTTATGATATGAATACTGTGTCTGGAACATAGTAAAGCTGTAAGGTCCTGAGGAACTGCAATAAAAACAAGGATCATGACAGCTCTTGTTACTTTCTTTAGTTTCCTACCAAAATGCACTTAAGGACCACATAGATAAGGGGTGTCAAATATGCGGCCCGCGGGCCAGATCCGGCCCGCAAGCGGGTTAAATCCGGCCCACGAGATGGTTGTGTAAACTTTATTTTCATACTTTACAATGTAGAGTTAAAGTAAACTTATCTTTGTGAGCAAGTTTTCTCTGTAATGAGTATAAATAAAACAAAGCTGCGCTCAAGGCTCACACAAGAACTTGAATCACATCCTGAAGTTGGCCGCCACTCAGGATGTGACTTCTCGTATTGATGTGCTGGTGAAAGCTAAAACATGTAAAGTAAAATGAGTCGAATATATTTTAAGTGCTACATGAAACTGATCTAGCCATGTAATCTGTAAGCTCTGAATCACTAAGGAATGTTTTTTTATTGATTTATTAATTTTTATTTATTTCAAATTTTCAAGTACAAGTACAAGTGTTGTACTTGTACTATTTTGGATACGCTGTCCTCAGGCTCCAGCCTTGTTTTATATTGTATTAAAACAAAGAAAACAATCTGAAGTTGTTTTTAATTTACCGGTCCGGCCCACTTGGGACTAGATTTCCCTCCATGTGGCCCCTGAGCTAAAATGAGTTTGACACCCCTGACATAGATCATTCAGTAGACTTACAGATAAATACTGCACATGGCCAGGTCTGCATACTGGAACCACTCCAATATATCTGACATGCTATAAGCGGTAATATTCTGGGAGGGGTGACTTTTAAATGTTCTAGATATATTTTACCATTTAGCTGCTTCTTTAAGGAAAAGTTGAGGCAAAGTTTGACCAACATGCAGCCGAGATTTCTTTTGGTAAAAGAACATTTCTTCTGTCTAAAAGTAAAATGTTTATTGTTCACAATTAATTTTCTCAAATAAAAAAAAAAACAAAAGTTGTTTCTCACATGTTCTTTTGGAATTGGGGCTGTGACCAAGCTGACAACAACAATTACAAGGCAAGTGAGAGCCAGTAGTATGAGAGCAAAGTAAAGGTAGTGGACATCAGTCACAACAGAAGGTCGGTGGTCAGGCTGACCACAGGAAGGAGGGAAGTAGGAAAACTCCATGATCATTCGTGTTAATCCTACAGCCAGACCAGTCATCAGACCCCAAAATGCACCCTAGAAAGCACACAGACAATTACAGGGTCAGAAAAGAAGATGCTCAACTGAGAAAAAGAACGAATATTTTTCTGTCGGTGTGCCGCATTGTGTTTATTTTTGGTACCTACCTGCTCATTGGCACGTGGCCAGAAGATTGCCATAACAAACACAGCAGTGATTGGTGGTGCTAGAAAGCTGGTCACTGATTGGATATAATCAAACAGCTGTCCACTGTTGGCTGTTTGGACAACTGGAATCCATAACAGGCTGATGCACATCAAGACAAGGATGAAAACCCTGAAATTACATATTGGATCGTTTCAATGTGATCTCCTGGACAGCCTACGGAGCAACCTGGGCACCAGAGGTTCCTGAACATGTCCCAGAGATGTTCTTCTGAATTTAGGGAAGGCTAACACAAAGGTTTGTCACTGGAATCAATTACTTCAACTTCCAAGAAATATTTGCATACTCCTGCCACACGAGGACCAGCATTATCATGCACAGGAGGGATCTATGACCTACTGCACCAGCAAAGGGTCCAGCAATGGGTCTAAGGATTTCATCCTGGTAGCTAGGGTTGTCACGGTAACCGGTATAGCGGTAAACCCCGGTAAAAAAGTTGACAATAAAAATAACCGTCCAGTTTTTAAAAAACTAAATTATCTCGGTGGGTTTACCGTGGCCGCGGTTTCGGCGCGGTGACCCTTACCAGCCACCGTCGCTTCAGCTGAAGTTCCCGCGGCGCGCACTTTTTAGTTTGCAACAGCACCAAGCTGAAATAATGGCAGAAGGCGGAGACGGCAGCGCCCAGGACATCCATCAGCCCTCAGAGAAGACTAAATCGGAAGTTTGGGCATATTTTGGATTTCTGAAAAATGCTGAGGGACAGTTAATAGAAGACTGCTATCCCGTTTGCAGAACATGCAGGAAACAAGTGTCTGCAAAAGGCAGCAACACTTCGAATCTAATGGCACATCTGCGTGACCATCACCCACGTCTCTACAGCCAGTGCAAGGTAAGTTAACATTAGCATTTTAGCTTAAATGCATGACGTGAGGACTTTTGGCTGAGGGAGAATGCAACGAGTCACTATATACTGCAGCCGCAGCGTCCTCTGCCAGCATTTAAACCGTGTCACGGACACCCTGTTGCTGGATGAAGCATCTTATTTGTTGATGATGAAGAGAAATATACAATTAGTTCCTTGTCATTGATTTGTTTACTTGTTCAATGCCATTTATACTTGAACATTTGGATTTGATTACATAGTGTAGTAGTTATTTTAGTAATTTGTTTAAAGTGGCTATTTATTTTAAATACATATTTTTTAAGGTTGACTTGTACAGTGCTCAAGTCAAGTGTGGACTGGAGTTTTAGATTTTCATTTTGATAATGAAGAAAACAAGTATATGAGAAAACAAGTGGTGTTTCTTTGATTTGTTTACATATTGTTTATGTTTTGAATGTTTGGATTTGTATAATTTAAACCTGCACAGACTACTGTAACATGTTCCAGAAAAAGAAGCTATTTGTTCCTTTACTTGTGAAAAGTTGCACTTTTGCTAAGGCTTTGTGTTATTTTAGGTTTAATAAACACTGTTAAACTATTTCAGTTTGTGTAGAACAGGACTATCAATGCTTTCTGAACATATGCAACACCGTTTAAAAAATACTGCGATAATACCGAAAACCGTGATAATTTTGGTCACAATAACCGTGAGGTTAAATTTTCATACCGTGACAACCCTACTGGTAGCTGATGGCAGGTGCATGTGCAGGTGGTAGTGCCGAGAGGCTGTCGGCAGTCAACCTGTTGTGTTGAGATGTGCTGTGTAAGGTGCAATGATACAGTTAAGAAATAGGAGGTGCCAACAAGGGTGTGATGCAGGATGCATGCATTTTCAAAAATGGGGGAAGTGTTTGGCTAGTTAAGGCTATCTTAGCTAGTTGTCTAGGTTGTTTGTGCTGTTAGTAGTGGACTAGATGTTTGGGTCCTGTACAAGTCTGGACACCCCTCTCCAGACAAACACAGATAGCAAAAATACACATACAACAAAAGTGGTTATTTTTTGATTGTTGTCTAAGGTTTGTTTGTATCTGTTATTAGATATTTAGAACTTGTGGAATTGTTTTGTATTCTAGATCCCAGTGCCACTGCTCATTATTCTCTTTCAACTCTTCAGTCTATCAGCCCTCACATCTTTTCCCGTGACTGTTAATTAGCCCGTCTTTTCCTCATTACAACAGACACATGTCCTTGTATACGTATTTCTTTGGTTCTTCAGTTTTTTGTAAGATCCTCGTGTTTCTTGTGCTGCTAGCTCAGTCTGGCCAGCCATCCTGACATGCAAAGCACAATTATTTTGCTTCGGCAAATGACAGTCTAGATTCTAAGTTACTGTTAGCCTCCATGTTGTTGTACTTTGTACTTAAAGTGCAAGTCATCCCCTACCAGAGTCTCACTCCACCTACTCTTACTGTTTTAAAAATGTGCCAAAGGAGGGTTCGCCTGGAAGACCAAGAGGGCGGTGCTGTGACATTGACTGGCACGCACGCACGCACGCACGCACGCACGCACACACACACACACACACACACACTGCTTGGGCAGAGAAGCAGAAGTGAACATCCTAGTCTGGAAAATGTTTTGATTCCACCTCCTTCATCAGAGCACACAGAGGTGAGAGAATGGAGGAAGCCGTATCACCATATCGTTTGGTATCGTCTCACGAGTGGCTGAGGCATCTAGGGCTGTGGCGAAGACTTGGCTGCCTTGGCAGTGCGACCACGTCGGCAGTAGCTAACATCAAAAATCAATGCTTAGCCCGATGGATGATTTAAATTCAAATGTAGGTCAGACTTTTAACCTGAAGAAAATGATTCCCTGACAGAATATTTATATTTTAAATAAGATGCTAAAACAATGACAACACATACAGTATCTACAGCACATTTAGCCACACATCTATATCATTTATCAGCATAAAAATGTTGATTTGGGGATGCTCATTGTTAGTTATTTTTATTGCTGCCATTCAGCTGTTCATTAGTGATGGCAGAAATGGAAAATTCAAGACATCGATGCACTTACATCTGACTTGGAAAAAGAATCACACGCTTGGAATGTCTGTAAAGCATCTGACCACAGTGACATCTAGTGGACAAATACATGTATTGTGTGCAATGTTTTTCTCAGACATTCCTGGTGATCTCAGACAATTCCCAACCAGAATGATTCCAAAATAAGGAGTCCTCAGTACAAGACATTTAGGCAAATAATGCAAGCCTATAAATAAACGTCAGCTCAGAAGTGCTTTCAAATCTTTTAAAAAGACCAGGTGACGAATCAGTGGACACAAAACAGCTGTTTAATAATGATTTACATTTTAAAATAATTCATAGCTGAGATTAATAGACATTTTTAATAATTTTGTTGTTTTTATAGAATTTATTGCTGAATTACAAAATAATATGATAGGAATGTTGCTTAAATGCATAAATTAAATCATGGTAAATACAATGCATCTGCAAGATATTCACAGAGCATCACATTTTTCCCATTTTGATACGTTACACTCTTATTTTACAATGGATTAAATTAATTTTATTCCTCAAAATTGGCTGTAATTAAAGCCTCAAGTCTTTTTTCTGTCACAATGTAAACTACTGCTGTACACTGCTGTGAAAGGAATAA